TACCACTTGTCCTGCAGCTGGTAGCCTGCCGAGCGCATGGCCTGCAGTTCGTGGTGGAAGGAGCGCAGCACCAGCCAGGTAACCTCGCAGCGCTCGTAGCTGCCCATCACCTCGAGGCCGACCTTCTGCCAGAACTCGTCGTAGCGCGCCGGCTTAACCTTGTAGGCCAGCGAGTCGTCTATTAGCTGCACCAGATCGGGCATATTACGCATCGTATTAATAAGCGACATCACGCTGCGGAAGTGCTCGATGGGCTCGTACCAGCCGTTCTGCAGGTACTTGGAGGCCTTGCAGACGGTGTTGCGCAGGCGCAGTATATGCGGCCGCAGAAATTCCATCAACTTGCAGAGCTCCGAGTTGCTGCACTTGTCGGGGCGTTGGGTCAGCTCCCATTCGTAGCGGGTCTGGAGATTCAGCCAGCTCTTCATCAGCTTGGTGGCTTTGTCATGAAGTTCGTTAGCGATTGCACCCCAGATGAGACCGCGATGGCGGGTGTTCTCATAGCCGGGAACCTGACAATCGTAGAGCTGGGGATAGGCCTGTACAGCCTCTATGAGGCGACGCTGATCCTCGGTGCAGCGGAATTGGAAGCCGGCCTCATCTTCGAGATCCACATCGATTATGTCCACGGGCGGTGGCTCCACAATTTCCACATCGGGCAGAGTTTCATGCTCTTCGATAACCTCCGTGGGTTCGTCCACCTCGGCCGGCTGGACCTTCTCCACCGTGAGCGGGAACCGGGCCACATGGGGATACAGGAAGAGCAGCTCCTCCTCGTTCCGCATGCAGGGTCGTTGGCCTTTGGTGCCGCTGCGATTGCGCTGGAAGGCCCTAAGGCGGCGCACATGGCGTTGGTAGCGGTACCGCAGCTCCGCCCAGGCCGCCAGGCAGTTGGTCAGATCCGTGTCCAGTCGGCTGGCGACGCCCTGCCAAAGTTTCTCCCGATGGACGTCGTCATGGAATTTTGGATGCCGGGCATCATACAAAGCCGGCTGGCGACGGACCAAGGCAATGAGACGCCTCTCCGCCTCGAACTTCTGAAGGATGTCGGCTTCCCCGGACGACGATCCTGGCCGCGTGACTCGGATGAAGGGTTTGGCGAACACGTCCACACTTCCATCCTTGGTTACGATTTTATCGGCTGTCGGGGAAGAGGGAACGGAAGTTAGTTCGATGAGCAGGTGCCCAACTGGCGGGACTCACCATTGATGATCAGCGGATCTGGCGGACCACCGCCGATGGCCATGACCTCCTCTTCCATGTCTTAAGTCTATATGTATTACCGACCGCAAACGCAAGTAAGCCGCGCTTTTCCGGCACAAAAGACGCGAAGAATCCCCGATAAGGACAGCCCGGTGGTCAAACCCCCGGTTTAACTGCTTTATCTGCACACTCTATACACAATGCCGAACGAGGAATATATTGAAGCATACGGGATTCACTGCCTGGCCAATTTATAGTTGACAGGTTTCCCGAGAAGCGCGTTTTTTGCGACGCCAAAAAGTCGGCGTTTGCCAAACGCAAATTGCTCGCAGGGCAATTCAAGACAGCGCTGCCAGACTGCAAGGGCGTCAGTTGACTGTTTTGCAACGATCTGGCAGCTTTAATCGTAAAAAAACAACAATGGCTGCCCTCGTTGACAAGTGAATGCCAGACAGCTAAACAACGTGTTTAAATAAAAGGGATTAAAGATAAGTAAACAGATTAACATTGATGGAAGACAATAAAGTGAAGCCAGCGCTTCCATTTTAAGTGTCGTATGTCAAAAGACTTCTAGCAGAGTGGCAGCAATGCCCATTGCTCAACAACAATGGCGGTCTTCGATGACATGTGAATGTCAAACAGCTGTGACTTGCTGAAAATAATAGAGATGGACCCAACCCGTCTATCGATTAAAGTCAAGATAACACCAATACAACTTATCTGCACTTACCGCAGTGGGAGAGTACTTAACCCCTTGTGTGCCGAAACCAATTTGACAGTTTACTTTGTTATGTTGTTGTGTTTTGACCAGCAATCTCATTAGTTACTGTGGTTCTTTCTTTAAACTTCCGAATTACTTCCGCTCTCAGTGTACCAACTCGGGCCTCAATCATAAATTTATACTCTCTGTGTTGATGGAATCGAGTACAAAGCAATTATATTATCCAACCGCGCCTTGATTTCCAGGTAAGCAAATTCAGTTTATGATGACTAAATGGTCTTTAATCCAGTACTTAGGTCAACGATTGTCTTGATTATAAACGCAAAGCCGTTCCTTGGCCCTGATAGAGCAGAACGATTAGAAAAACACTTTGATCCCTCAATCTCTTGATATCGGGATTCACTGTACAAAAATAACATATTCACCGAAGGACCAGTACTAAATGTGTTAATAATGTCACTGTTAAGTCGTTGGCTGTTAGCATAACTCACGAAAGACAAAGATTTCTTGAAGCGAATTGCTCGCAAGCGAAGGACCAAACCATTAAACCTAGTACTCAGATAGGCTTAGACGTTGTCTAGTCGAAAAATCGTATTCTTTGTAGTGTGACCGAAGTTTTCAAAGTTCACCCGGAATGCATGCAGCATGGTCTTACTGTCAAGCAGCTGGGTTTGTTTTGTTGACGAATCTGCTGGTACACAAATAAATAAATGTACTTGGAATGTTCTACGGATGTTTTTATTTATGTAAATTAATAGTTTAAGGCTTTATTCTCGTGTGGCGGATGCCTCGCTATCTTCTCCGCTTCATCAGCAGTCCATCTCCGATTCACAATATACCAACATGGGCCTTGAGTGAGTGGGGGCCGGATTGGGATCGGGGTTGTTCCGCTAATGATGTAGGAAGTCGCCCAGCATCTTGGAAATGGCTGGCTATGGCTTCTGAAACTATTCCTTAGTGGGCAACCAAATTCTTTTGGCCAGATCTTACTTTCTTTGCGAGGACACGCCTGGCAGGATGTCCATGTAGGGAGCGAAGTCCCACTCGGCATGTTCCTTCCCACTGGACAACAATCGTTTAGGCGTCCTATTTCATCTGCACTGACCTCCTGCATTCGATTTTGGGGTTTTCCTTCCTTTTTTAATTTTTAGTTTCCCTTTGCACGAACACCGCCAAAGATTAAATTTCTTATTCTTTGAGCCGCGGCTAACTGCGTTCATCGAAATTCACTCGCTAAATCTGGTATTTTTCTGGTATTTCCTTAGCTCATCTGAGTACCCCGCTGAAATACAGACCCGAAGAAAAGCGTTAGCCGCGTATTCGCCACTCACTCACTCGCTCACTCCTATGGTTAGCTCGCGGTTTTTGTCGATGTGAGTAGGCTTTAACATGGAAAGACTATAAAAACTTATTGACGGAATGCAGAGGTCTAGGGCATGTCTCCCCCAAGGTATTACTTTGAATTTGAGAGTTCAAGCGTCCCCATTTAGAAGATATTTGATTTAAAGTTGGTTCCAAAAACCGAGGCTATTTAACCATTGAACTGTCGAAGTCAATTTAATTTCTGGTTTGGTATATGAAGATGGAATGAACATTTTAGTGTCCATATAATACAAAAGTGCTAAGTAAAGACTCTACCCCGACATCCACGTGCAAAAAAATGGTGTTCCAGGGAGTCCGATATAAAAATCATAGCAAAGCTAACCGGAAAAACCTCGTTGTTACCCGTTGCAATTAGGACTAGTCAACAATCAATAGGAGATAATGCTAATGCGAATGGCCAGTGCAGCTCTCGAGGTCATCGTTCCAAAGATACTAGTCCTTGCATAAGTGATTCCGAAATCATACGTAGGTCGGTTGAATTGGAGTTCTCATTAAATTGAACGCATTGCCGAGTCAGACCACTGAAGGCAAGCATGAAGGACTTAAACTTGGAATATTTCACAATTGTTTCAGATCGTTCCTAAGGTAGCTGTATGATATAGTCGTCCGTTTAAAGAGTAATTTTATTCGAAAAAGAATATAATCAAAAACAACGAAGCTAGAATATTAAAATCCGTTATTCTAAGAGTAAAAGGATATTAGGAGAGTAAGTAACAGGAAGAAGGAAGCGTTTCCAACCCTATAAAGTGTATACATCCTTGATCAGGATCACTAGCCGAGTCGAAGTATCCATGTCCGTCTGCCAGTCCGGCCGTATAAACGCTGAAATCTCGGAAACTATAAAAGCTAGAATTTTGGAATTAGCAATGTAGATTCCATGGGTTCGTGCGCAAGTTTATTTCAGCAGGGTGCCACGTCCACTAACGCTAATAACGCTAAAACCTGTCTAGCGCAAACATTTTTAATATTTTGTAAAAGTGCTTAGATGGGATTTTGTTTTGATTATCAATCTACACGCCAAAAGTTGTTTACATCGGACCATTCATTAAAAAGTTATATACTTTTATACAGGAATCGAAGTTGCGTGGCGCAGTGATGTGGTGTGCAATCTTGGGAACAGTCGCTTTGAAGCTTCATATTTCCATCTCCCTCGCACTCCTCTTAGCTGAGTTAGGGGTATCTGATAGCCGCGGCCGACGACTATAGCTTGCGTAGACACGGAAAAACGGACGGACAAATCTAGATCGGTTCGTCTAGTGATGCTGATCATGAATTTATATACTTTATGGGTCGAAAACGCTTTCTTCCTGTAGTGTAAACGCATCGCATGAGACTTGAACATTATACAATGATGCCAGCAGTCGAAGCCCAATATTACTCTACGATTAGCGGGTATAAACATTTATAATAACACGTTTCCAACTAGAAGATGGTGTGATGTGATTTGTTCATTCTATTAAACGATGTTTATTGTAGCACTAGGAAGCTAATAAAGTTCATACAAATGATAATAATATTTTATTTGTTATAATTTGTCTAGAAAATACACTTTCTAATCGTTTATCATTGATCAATGAACAGATCAACGTTGCCCAAGTTTATTTTATATCGATATCGATAGTAGGCGAGCACAGTGGGCAGAGTACTTTTGTTTTAATTTTTGTTCTACATTTTTTCGTCGTTCCGGCAACGCTGCACGAAATCAGCTGATTAGCCGGCCTGCTTTTCGACAAATGTTTTCATAACGCGCCTTTGATTGAAATTCGATTGAATTGAGTGAATTAACAGTGAAGATCTGAACCCAGCCATGTGGACAAGGACGCACTGCCTCTGGCGCAGTGTGGGGCGCGTGGGCCGCCAGTTGTGCACCACAAGCGTTGCGCAGGCGCGGATTTTCGCTGATCGCGAGAATCAGTTTGCCCACGGGATCCTCATGGATTCCCTGAAACCCTACGCCATACTGCGTCCCCGGGACTCCGCCTGGCAGGATCTGCCTGCCACGGAGGGCTTCATGCGGCCACCAATTGGAAACGCCAATCCTGCCGATCTGTACGCCGACTTCCTCGGCCTGGTGAGGCACTGCATCCGGCTGGAACTGCAAATTAGCGATGCCCGCTACGACGAATTCACTCGCTTCTTTTGCGAGCAGCTGCACCGCCTCACGGACGAACAGCTCGTGGGATCGCTCAGCGCCTTAGCCGAGCTGCCCACACCGGAATCGACGAAAACCCACAACTACATGGAACTGTGGAACACCCTGGACATCGAGAGCTGTCGGCGCATCGAGCGTTGGTCCAGCGAGCAGCTGCTGCTCGTGAGCGACGCTTGGTATCGCCTGGGTCTGGTCAGGATCGGGGAGTACGTATGGCTAGCCGTCAAGAAGCTTGGCCGCAAGTTGCGCAAACTGCCGCCCGAGCAGCTTGTCCACTCCATGTTTCTGTGCAATCTGCTGCGGCGACCCGTCTTCGAGATGTTTGACTTTGAGCTAAATCTGGCCCGCTGTGTGGACCAGATGACCCTGCCCGAGCTGGGCGTAATGGCCATGGGCTTCTTCAAGACGCAGACCCCCATCAGAAATCCGGAGTTGCTGGCGCAAATCTACCAAAGGCTGGGCAGCGAGCTGGACACCGTGGAGGACATTCCCCTGGTGGCGTTGCTGAAAGTTCTGCGCTACAGCAGCAAATTGCCTCAAGTGGAGGCGCTCAAAGAGCTGCTCAGCGCCCTGGAGTCCCAAGTGGAGCGGGTTTCGCTACTCGCTTGCCTGCACATGGCGCTCCTGGGCTGCGAACTGCAGACCTGCAATGATTCGCTGGTGGAACGCATTCTGCTGAGATTCGAGCGCGAATTGGAAACCGCCCGCTTAAAGGATGTTGAGCGCATCTGCTTGGTAATGGCCCTGTTCAATATTACCACCTCGTCGGGGGTGGATCGACGTTTGGCGGAAAGGCTGCCCGATTTACTGCGCCAGCGGATGGAGGAGATACTGCGTCATCCACGCTGTTTTAGCAACTGCCTGCAGTTTCTCACAATGCGCGGCGTTTACGACGTGGAGTTGCTTGGCGTGGCGCTGGAGCCGCGTCTCGTGCAGCACGCCTACCGCAACGGACTACCTGGGCGGGAGTACTTCCACCTGGATGGGTTCGCTCGTCTCCTCGGCCCGCAGGAGTACCAGGGAGCACTGCTCACCGATCGGCAGCGGCAGCAGATGGGCCGCCTATACACGCAGTACATCCCCCAGCGGGACGGACGCTTTAAGCTAAACAGCACCGATCGCATCCTGGTGGAAATACGGGAGGCGATCTCTCTGATCCACCGACCTGTGACCTTCAAGCACATCCTGCCGCAATACGATCGATGCGACTTGGTGCTTTGCTACGACCACCGCCAGCAGAAGGTTTTGCCCTTGGACACAGAGGCCTGCCAGGATTACAGCGGAGAGATTCTAACCCGCAAGCACTTGCTGGGCGAGACAAAGGCGGCGGATGATCAGATGGCCACTGTGGTCATCGTTATCGCGGGCTGGAACAACGTGATCCGCGACAAGGAGCGCTTCACAGGGCAAATGGAAATGAAGTTAAAGCAGCTGCGGCAGTTGGGACATCAGCCCCTGGTGGTAAGTGCTTCTTTATGGGCAATGTTTTCCAAAACTAAGTTAGCATTTCAACCATTTGTTCCTTTTTATATTACACACAACCATTTTGATCTTAAAGATGTTTTTATACATTACACTTTATTATTTATTCATCATTATATAATCGTCTAACTATTTTCTGCCTCGTCTAGATCTATTGGCACGAGTGGCGAGAGCTGGAAACAGCTGCGGACCGCCAGGATTTCCTTAGACGCCGCCTCAGCCAAGTGGCCAAGATTTAGTGCACCATCGTCAAAACTAGCAGCTGCAAATGGAACCTTAGCCTTAAGAAGAGCAAGACGGAAGAACAAACTGCCAACAACCAACGGAATGAAAAACGGCTATAAATTGGATATTAGTCAGTCATTAGCATTATCTGAACATTGTACAGGCACAACACTACGATCTATTAATTATCTAGAAAAAAAAGGAATAATTATCGAATATTTAATAATGACCGCCCGCGGCCACGCGCCATAAGCCCACAACTACTAGCACAGCGTCTCGCTCCTTGCGACCCTTTTTGGAAGATGAGGTGATCAGAGGGTGGCGCTCATCGCCCGCTTGGTGTACTCGTAGACCAAGAACAGAGTGGCCGTTGCCGGAATGGTGCGCAGGACAGATGGCAGGAGGCCACGGTACAGAGCCAGGACACCCTCGCGCCGCACTATGTCCGCTCCCACGGCGAACATGCTCTCGTTAAGGTTCTTCACCTGGATCCGGCTCTTGATCACGTCCGCCGGAAACGTCGACGTCCACAGACAGACGCCTCCAATGGCACCGGCGATCATCGTACGCAATGGTCCAATTTGATCCTTAGTTTGATCATCGCTGCCGGGGAAAACAGAGATAATTCAAGGTAGATGCATGCCGGATAAACTAATGATAAATATACATAGTCGATCTTCCATAACTCAGGAAACTTCAGGTTTTCAAATTTACTTTACCTTTACTTTAAAAGAGTTCGAGTTATGAAAGTTGGACTGTAGTTTGATCCTAAGCAATTGCCTTTAGTACAACAAGACTTGAAGTTGTTAAATTAGGTAAAAACGTAGAATTCATAATTGTTATTATGTGAATTTAATAATGACCTTTGCTTAGTGTTTCTTACGTGGTGTGTTTCTGGACTTGTCTAGTTTGTTAAATATTGTTTTAACTAGTTCTGTAAATTACTAAATATATTTTTACAATTGTTTACTTTTTGGAAATTTTAATGGAACTTCTTTATCTCTTAATCAGTGATCAAGTCTATTCAATCAAGTGATTCTAAAATTTAAAGGAATTATGGAAATATTGTTATTCCCAGTTCGTTCGAGTTATAGCTAAACTAGATCTAGGGTTTTCATCCTTTAAGGACGTCTGTTGCACTCACCGTCGCAGTATTTCACGCGTGCCCTCGTAGCTGCCGAAGAAGAAGAAGTAGCCGGGCATTTCCCGCAGGAACGTGGAGCTCAATCCCCGATAGAATCCTCGAATGCCTGCGGAGAAGATGGGTTAAAGAGTCAGGCCAGTGGAAAATCAGAAGATGGCAGGAATGGAGATTGGCACGTGAGGACGGGACTATCTATCTATACTTAAACGGACATCGGACATCAATCAATGGCGAAACGGAAACGTGCTCATGATCTGCCGACTTGAGGCTGTCAATCGCGGAGCGTTTCAGAAAAGTTTCCACTTGACTGATAGTGGCCCAACCATGTGCATTATCCACAACTGCACTTCCCCATCCCTGTTTCCCGAACATATATGTATAGCTCTATGGCTATCTTGTACTACGTCACTATGATGCGTGGCATGTTCTCAACCGCGAGGCTATGGCTATGAACAGTCTTATCAGTTTCCATAGAAATCCCTAATTCGCTTTTCGCAATCTGCGTAGTAAATACTCATTATTTATGTTTCAGAAATTAACGAGAGTAATGGCAGCCTTCTCAAGTTCGATTAGATTTGATTAGCGTCGAGGTATTACAAAATTCATCGCTTGACAAGCGTTTTATAGCCTTAGCTGCTTTTCTATGGCTTATGCTTCCTGTTATTGCTATTTTTAAGCGTCAGCATAAAATTTGAACCATGCCCTTGATACATGATTACTACAGACCTATTAAACGGATTTTCAAAAGTCCTAACCTTTTAAATATATATTATAGGACAATTTGGAAAATATTGCTAAAATAATTTAATAGACATGTGCGTATTCCCTAAGAAAAATTCCAAAATTACTTCATTTATGTGAAAAGATTAAGTTTCAGACAGTTTCGCTCATAAAAAGTTTATAGTTCCTTAATCTGTATTAACAGGCAAAATAATACAGAGAATTTCATCAGTTTTATGGCCCTTACACATCCAATTTAAATCCTAAATTGTCTATTTTAAAAGATTAAAATTTTCTGTTATATTTTCGAGGATATTCAAAACGTCGACTTCTCACAGTTTCCGTTTGGAGTTTGCAACTTTTTCAGTGTTTTTTCACGATCGCATTACATTACCCTGGCATTCAGCTCGTAATTTAAGTCATCTTATGTTGAAGTTGTATGCTCATAATTAATGCTTTGTAATTCAATCAGCAAGAAATGGAAAACTACAGGAATTTTGAATGCTTTAAATATTAAATTTCAATTGTGATGGAAAGTTTCCACATCATTTTTAACAAAAAAGCAATTTTTCATTAAATTAAAAATAATCATTTTTAAAATTTTGTGGTTTTAAACTTAATCTTACCAATATCTAATCGAACACGTTAATTTTGAATGGGTATTAAAACTATCTATCCAAACTATGATACCCTCTTGCTAATACAATATTTTGAATATTTTATAGAAAATATTTAAATTCAAAATTGAATTCAACCGCTTTATTGCCCATTTGGGGCCAGAGATCTACAGCAGATCCCCAACGGATCCGGCAACCCCAAGTGATCCCATCCCCAACCATGTGGACTCGTGCCTTTGTATGGGTGCGATGCGTATCTGTGTTTATATCGCGCACTGCGGTGCGATAATTGTGAATTATTAGAAGAAAAAGATCGCCGAAAGCCGCGCGGAGATAATCTAATCCGAGCACTTGAGGGTCGAGAGCAACAAAAGCTTTCCCGAATCCCCAAGGCTACGCCCCCTAAAATATTCAGGGATAAATGCGATAAAAATGGACATTAAAGTGCCAATATGTTAATTTTACTTGGCTTTTACATCTTACTAACTACAGTGAGCATTCGAAACAATGAACATGGATGCCATTCATGAATTTTTTAATAATTCCTATGCATAGATAGATCCCAAAGTATTGCATTCTTTATAGTAGCTTGCAAAAACCTTTTATTTTAGGTTTAAAAAATACTTCCTAAATGTATTTAACTATTTTTTAATTCACCTTTCGCAAAAATTAATATAATCGTGTGTTACTTATATGATATTGAACGATACTTTTATATAGTTTAGATATATGAATGGCAAATAACAGATACTTAAACCATTATCAGACCAACTAAAAACCATCAGTTGTTTGAGACAGAAATAATAATATTTGGTTTTACTGTAATGAAAGTTAATATAGTTTGGATACTTTGCCCATAAAATGTAATTTTTACTTATTTAAAAGCATGTCTCTGTATGAAATTTTTTTCAAGGTTCAGATACTAAGATATGGGTTCTATTATAATGAAATACTAATAGTTTGTTCAATCCTACAGAAATATTTTCCTACCCATATTCAATCGAATATTATAGTTTTGTGAGATAAAAAATAGGGAAGACATGGAATATGTTTCGGGATAATAGTACTCACCCTCGGTACGCCAGATGTATCGCGTGAGCGTCCAGGGCGTCCGCATGTCCTCCGGATGGGCCGGCTCGACGAAGTGCTTCATCTCGCGCAGCGCCTGCAGCTTGCACTTGATCAGCTCCGTGGGACAGAGGGTGAGGGTGGAGAAGCAGGCGGCCAGGGAGCCGGCGCAGGCGTTCTCCACGGTGGTCAGCTCGCCGGAGGTCTCCTTGCCAACGAAGAAGGCCACGAACTTCTGGCAGCCACCGTAGGCGGCGAACAGGACCGAATTCTCGGCCACGTTGGCGAATACGGCCGGAACGGAACCGGCGTACAGGCCACGGAGTATGCCATCCTTGCGGTATGTGCTCACAAAGCAGTCCCACATGCCGCGATATACCTCCGGAAAGGTCTGCAGCTTGACCTTGACCGTGTCGAGGGGCTGCGAGACGTACACCTGGGCCGCACCGCCCAGGGATCCCGCCATGAAGTCGATCAGCCCCTCGACGAAGTTGATATTGTTGCCGGTACCGCCGCCGTGCATGTCTAGTCGTCGAAGGAAGCGCAGGAAACCGCCGACCACGAACAGCAGGCCGTCGCGTACCGCTCTCAGCGTCGATTTCACACTGATCGGCCTGCTCAGCCAGCGCTTCGACTTGCCCTTCTTCTCTCCGTCGGCCTCTCCGTCGTCTTGCCCCTCCTGCGGGGTAGGGGGGCGGTACAGTAGGGTTGTCAGAGTTCGGTTACTTATCGACAACGACCGTGTTCCCATTTCCACTCCATATCTCTCTGGCGGAATTGGGATCTCAAACGGTCGAATCATAATATTTTAGTTTAAATTACTTTAATAAGTTTGCTTTTAACTATTTCTAATTTCCTCAAAAGATATTTTTAGGATTAACTTTCTTGGTTTGAAATTGGAACTGCATGTGGTCTAAAGATGTTTTTTTTTCACTCGATGATGAATGAACTTTGATCAGTTGGCAAGTTTAAAACATTGGGATTACAAACAGTTCAAAAATAATATTTTTGATTACGCTAAATAAACTTCATATAACTTTGTTTAATAAATAAATGATCTGTTAATTAATCAGTAACCTAGACACTTCATGTATTAATTTGATCTTACTGAAATTATCGAATATATCGTTTTTGACAATCTTGATCTATTAACGTTATCGAAAAAAATCTAATGCGAAATCGATCTGTTCATTTAGTCTTACTTTTGTCTTACTTTTTTAATTATTTGATCAATCTGAATTTGTTTGTACTTTTCAATGACCTTGATCCATCAATATCATAAAATCAATGATCTTAGATCATCGATACTGTTAACATTACTGTTGCTTTCACTACGATCGAACCAAAACATCAAATATATCGATTGTCATGCTCGACAAACTTGATCCATCAACATCATCGAAATTAAATTCATATAAATTTTTCTTTCGGTGTAGGGATAAACGCTAACCGAAATTGATCGATTAACTGATCAGTAACGAACTGAAAATATCGATACTTTTTCTGGACCGGGTTCGACAACTCTACCTGCAGGGCGCGTTCGTAGGCCTCGATGATTTCGTCGGGCGTCATTATCAGCACGCTGCTGCCCGCTTGACTGCTGCCGATCCGCGGGGGTGGGGGCGGCATGGGCGGGGTCTGGGGCTCGTCATCGGTGGGCGGTTCGCCGGGTGGCGCTTCGGCCGCCGGCGGCGGATTCTTCGGGCGGCGCTGCGTGATCGCTTCCAATGATGGGCGGTAGCGGTACGATTTCTGCCGATCTGCTGGCTTCTCCATTATCTTCGTTGTAGTTGTTGTTGTTGCTAATGTCGTTGATGTTGATGTTTTTTTGGCGCTGCGGCGCTGGCGGTGTCTCGCTCGCTCTCGCGCATGGGAACGGGAACGAGAAAGGGATGGGGCGCTAAATCGGCGGCTCTTGCTGTCCCTCTCTGACCCTAGGCGAGCGATTTCCGGGGGAAAACGACAATTTTTGGTGTAATTTTTTTTTTTTTTGTGTGCTTGAGATGTTTAATGAAAAGCCGGGGAGTTTGGTTTCCTTTCAAATAATTGTTCGATTTACGGTTTATTAATAATCGATAATTTGATTACGCCATATGCATATATATAGGTGTATACATATCATGTGGATCAGCGATCTCTCTCCCCTTATCTCTCTGTGTGTGGGTGTGTGTGTGTGTGTGTGTGTGTGGGGTGTGTGTTTATATTTATTATCATGGGTTTTGTTTGTTTTTTTTTCTTATATTTTTTTTTTTTTGGTATGTGGTGTTTATCTCGTTTCATTATGCGGTATTTCCTCTCCTTTATCGCCTTTTGCACTCTTATATAAATTTAATAATTTACATTAAATCATAACTTAGTTATACAAATACCATTTAGTACAGTTATGGGTAGTTTATATCGATATATAGCCCCTATACCATACTGGATACGTGTTATTTATAATTAAATAGTACAAAAAAAAGACTTCGAAGTTTCGGACTCGTTCCGTTAAGTGTTAAGATGCTTGAGCTAAGTTCCTGATCGGTCGCGTATTATATCTATATCTGCTTTACATATATAGTGTGCATCTTGTTGTGCCTTTCTGGTATTTCTGGATCGCTGAGTTTGCATACGCAGTTTTGGATGTGTGGGATGGGGAAAGCCGAAGAAGAAGAAGTAGAAGATGGGGATCTGGTTTTATAGGAAAGCCGAACTTGGGGATTTTGGAGCTTCCGTCCTCTTCTAACACTTTGTACTCGTTTATATGCATTTATTTTCACTTGGTGTAAAAATATTATTATCAACATCGTTTCCTATATCATTTACCTTTTTCTATCCAAACTCAGCGGCGAATTTGCGTTTAAAAAATTGTTCGCATCAGGCTTATGTTTTTATCGTTTTCTATGTTTTCTGTCGCATTCATTTCTGGGTTTCTCATTTTTATATATATATATATATATATATTTATTATAATTATGCTTCCTATACAACTATACATATTTAATATTATTGTGTACAAATACAAAATCGACTTGCCAGCCGTCGAATGTCAGAGAAGCAAATCAAAATTTACACTCAGGCGTATTGGCACACATTTCGAAATTAAAATTCGAAATTTTAATTTAGTTTCAGAGGATTTAGTAAGTTGTGTGAAATGCAAAAACTTTTTCGACTACTTGGGAATTTTAAACAGAAGTTTGAGTACAGTTTTCCAAGGAATCGCAGTTTGTTCTACGTTCTTAAAAGTTCCTACATGTTTTAAAATATTTTTAAAAAATATAAAAAGTCTTTTACAAATTTCAAGTTGAAATACGCATTGAAAACCCAAGAATGGTTCAATGTCACTTTTCCCAATGGTTTTAAGATTGAAAAATTTCAAAAACTCTTTTCAAATTACAAAAATTAATATATATCAAAAAAAGATTATTTTAAAATTTGCATTAGTTTTTAAGTTTTTATGTTTTATTTGTGAAAAATGTTATTTAACGAACCCTCTTATTATTCTTAAGCAACAATATCAAGTGGAAACTCTTTGGAATCTGCATCAACTGAATGGGGGATCTCAAGGAAACTAAACTTTAAGTTAAATTAGGCTACTCGATTCCGGATGTCATCCAGTTGGAACCCACAAAGTGCACTTTATCCCGGCTGCCTCCGACTCTGACTCGGAATCCACTACCTCCGCCCATGCCAATTAGTAGTAGGCGGGGAAGGGGTGGTAGTTCGACGGATTGGAGGCGTGGTGGTTGGCGGAGGGCAGGACGGGCGGTGGCCTCACGCCCGGATGGTAATTGCTGGAGGCCACCTGGTGATAGGCCCCAAAGCTCCGCGCCATGTGACGATTCTGGGCAGCTGCCGCCGCCGATTCGCCAAGGAGGCGTGACTGATCCGCCGTGCCCAGCAGCCGATTGTTCTGTTCCATCAGCAGATGGGCGGTGGGATCGACCAGGAGGCGGTGCTGATCCGCTGCATTCGAGGCGGCCAAAATGCGATGCTGCTCCACCGTGGACAGGAGGCGATGATGCTCCAGGCTCTCGCGACTCTGGTGCTGCATCTGTGAGGAGAGGAAGGATCGATTGTTGCCCACCGCCATGTTGGCCGTATTGGGTGTGAGATCCAGCGAGGCCATCCGCAGCATGTCGTGGTGCGTGGGATGGTTGTAGGGCAGCTGGGGCGGCGATGAAACCACATAGTTGGCCGTCCGGCTGAGGTCCACCGAGGTGGTCTGGTCGTGCTCCTGCTCGCCCAGCTGCTCGCTGAGCATGTTGTGCATGGCGGCCGCCGACTGCTGGTGCTGCTGCATCGCATGGTGCTGCCCATGACCGTGCTCCTGCTGGTGCACCACCGAGGCGGCTCCACCTGGACCACCACCACCTCCCCCACCGCCTCCTCCGCCGCCACCACCACCCACCACGGAACCGCCCGCCTGCTGGGCCTGCTGGCTCTGCTGTTCGCGATCGGAGAGGATGTCGTAGATGTGATGGTGGTACCGACTGCTCGGCAACTGGAAGTTGTGGTGATAGTTACTGCTCGCCGCATTCGACCTGGAGCTCATGTCGAGTCCCTGCAGATCGGACAGATCGTTGGCGGCACTGGCCGCCGCTGCCGCCGCCGCTGCCGCGCTGACCGCCGCATTGCCGCCGTTGCCGCCGCCCGCCTGGCGGTACTCCGCCGGCGAGTCCAGCTCCTGGCTGTTGTACTTCAGGTTGCTGGCCATGCTCTCGTACTTGGAGTACATCAGGTCGATCTGCGACTGCGGGAACTTCATGCGCATGTCCTGGCCGGCGCTGCTGCAATCGAATCGGATGGGAATCGTTAAGTGTTATCCGTGATCAAAAAACTTTTTATATATAAGGAATTCAAATAATAGAAACCCTAAAAGTTGATAAAAATTAAAAATCATCTCATTATGATTTAATAATATAAATATTTTATCCGTAATCTCAAAGAAATAACTTAGGGCGACCATGACATGCGATCATCACCTGTTCTGTGGCATGATGCTGTTCTCCTCGTCGCTGGACATCTGGTTGTGGCGCGAGATGTTCTGCCGCTGGCGCTCCTGGTGCTCCTGCTCCTGGACGGCCCGCTTGTGGCGCATCATGTCGCCGTTGAAGTTGTAGCGCGGAATGCTCGGCGAGGAGGCGGGCGAGATGAGCTCGTGCTCCGGATAGGTGCTGCCCACGCTGGACGCGTTCCTCCTCTGCGGCTGGAGGGCGGGCAGGGGCGACGAGGCGGACATGCTGTTCGCACCACCACCGCCGGGCCCGCCGCCTCCTCCGCCGCCGCCGCTGGAGCTGCCCGCCGGTGTGCTATTCGATCCGGGGCCACCGCCTCCTCCATTGCCCGCTCCAAACATGCCGCCGTAATCGCGACCCGGCGAAATGGGCGGCGGCGAGGGCGGAGTTCGGTGGTGCGACGAGGAGAAGCCATCGGAATCCGGATGCTGTGGACGGGGCGTGCTGCCCGCATCCACATCCACATCGTTCTGGTTCTGATTGCTCTGCGGATTCGTCGGCGTCGAGGCGCTGGGCGATATATTGCAGGCACCCTGGAACATGGGCAGCGGTGGAATCTGCATTGGGAAGCTGCCCAGATTCTTCATCATCTTCAGCTCGTTCTCCAGGTTGTCCATGGCCCCGCCAATGCCTGTTCCGTTCGCCCCACCCGAGGATCCTCCGCTGGATCCACCTCCTCCTCCTCCACCGCCTCCTCCTCCTCCCGCTCCCGCTCCGCCGGCACTGCCCGCTCCAAAGCGCTGCGACTCGGGATCCACGTGGGCGCTCATCGGACTGTCGCTGTTTATGTGGTTGTCGGTGGGAACCTGTGGGGTGGGTGGTACGAATATGTTTAATGAGGCTAACATTTCTTGTAATTAATTTAATTTTTTGAAAAATCCCTATGAAACCCTTCAAAAAAAATGCTTTTTTGACCAAAATCTGAATCCCAAAAAAAACCGAGCTACCCCCTTACAAAATATGAAAAAATTTGTCAAAAAATAAATCTTCCTTAAAATGATGGGGATCGATAGCAATTGAAGCAAGCTGCTCAAAACTGTCGGTCTTTCAGCTGTACGCCTTGATTTGGCTAAACTACGACTGAAAAACCACTAAAAAATGAGTTTTTTTGACCAAAATCTGAATCTCAAAAATAAACGACCTACCCCCTTACAAAAAATGAAAAAATTTGTCAAAAAATAAATTTTCCTTAAAATGATGGGGATCGATAGCAATTGAAGCAAGCTGCTCAAAACTGTCGGTCTTTCAGCTGTACGCCTTGGTTTGGATAAACTACGACTGAAAAACCACTAAAAAATGAGATTTTTTGACCAAAATCTGAATCCCAAAAAAGCCGAGCTACCCCCTTACAAAAAATGAAAAAAATTGTCAAAAAATAAATCTTTCTTAAAATGATGGGGATCGATAGCAATTGAAGCAAGCTGCTCAAAACTGTAGGTCTTTTAGCTGTACGCCTTGATTTGGCTAAACTACGATTGAAAAACCACTTAAAAATTAATACTTTGACTAAAATCTGAATCCATTTCGTTGGGTTCGTTGTTTAATTTCCAAACTATTGGAAGCCAAATCTAGTTACTCAATGAACATTTTACTACTTTCTTATATACCATTCTAGTAATGAATATTTTTTGGAATACCTTGATTCCTCGTTTGAGTGTTATAAAAAAGGTGCATCCAATAACGCCCAGTGTAATAACGCCCACTTTTTAATTAATTCAATTTGTTTCTATTAGATATTGTTCCTCGTTTATTTTTGTATTTACTCCTATGGGCGTTAATTCACTGGGCGTTCTTTTTTCTTTTGATTATTATTTTACTTCTCTGGGCGCTATTTCACTCGGCGTTATTGCACTCAGCCCGGTATTAACTTTTTGTTTCCTTACCATCCTTAAAGCACTCACCTTGAGGTCGCTGCTCTCGCTGTCGATCATATTGCCCACGGAATTGAGGGCCGCCTCCACGAGCATGCTGGCCGAGGAGGAGCCGCCGCCCACGCCCACGCCGCCCACTCCGCCCACACGGGCGTTGGCGTTGTTGTAGAAGGAGCTCATGAAGGACTGCGAGTGGGCGAGGGAGTTCATCTGCATCTGGGGCTCATCGGCGCCGGAGACTGTGCCGCCCGTCGCAGGACCCGTGGGCGTTTGACCACCACTTCCGCCGCCCCCGCTGCCACCGCTTCCACCTCCGCCGCCGCCGCCGCCGCCGCCCGTACCGCCTCCATAATGCGACATGGCCGCTGCTGCTGCGGCGGCGGCAGCGGCGGCGGCGGCGGCATTGTTGTTCGACTCGACGACGTCCAGGAAGGAGCTGTTCTCGTCCTCCTCGCGACTGTGGGCGCTGTGCTGGTGCTGCTGGAGCGGCTGATGCGTTTGGTGGGCGTGCGCATGGGCATGGGCGTGGGCATGGGCATGGGCGTGGGCATGGGCGTGGCTAGCGCTGGCGCTGCTCATCAGGCGGGCCAGGAAGTCGCGATTCTGGCCGAGCAGCTTGCTGTGCTCATCCACGGCACTGGGCGGCACAGCGAATCCCAGATCGGAGCCTGGACCGGAACCACCGGGCACCAGCTGACTGCAGGCGCCGCTGTCACCGGGTCCACCACTACCACCTCCGCCCGCTCCCTCCCCGCCGACCTCACTGGAGTCCTGCACCTCCTGGATCCACTTCTTGCTGCCCTTGCTGACCACCAGATTCTGGCCGAGAGCCGCGTTCATGGCGGCCGCATGGCGGTAGTCCTGCTGACCCGCCCCCTGGGCGGCGGGATGCTGGTGCGGGTGGGCGTGCGAGTGCGAGTGGGCGTGGTGCGGGTGGGCGTGCGCATGGACATGGGAGTGGTGGGCTGCCTGGTGGGCATGGACATGCGGATGCACCGAAGAGCCGCCACCACCACCGCCGCCGCCGCCATCCTCGTCGTCCTCGTCATCGTCCTCCTCCTCGTCCATGCCCACGCCCACGCCCACGCCCATGTGACCCATCATGTGGCCCAGCTTGGCGGGATCCTCGCCAGCTCCGGCCATGGCCGAGACCGCTGCCGCCGCCGCCACCACTTGTTGCACCTGCTGCTGGGCACTCAGCCGCTGGGCGGTGGTGGTCAGGAAGGACTCCACCAGGCTCAGCTGGGCGTTCTGCTTGCGACGCACCTGCTCCAGCCGGGCGTTCTCCACCTCCTCGTCATCGGGATCGCCGTGTAGCTGCTGCTGTTGTTGCTGCTGCTGTTGTTGCTGTTGCTGCTGCTGTTGCTGCTGCTGCTGGTGCGGCAAGGAGTGGGCATGCAGCTGGTGGGGATGGTACTGCGGATGCTGCTGCTGGGGATCATGATGCAGCTGCTGGTGTTGCTGGTGGTGATGGTGTTGCTGCTGCTGATGTTGCTGCTGCTGTACATGCTGCTGCTGCAGCTGTTGGTGCTGCAGCTGCTGGGCATGCTGCTGCTGGTGCTGCTGCTGTTGTTGCTGCTGCTGCTGTTGCTGTTGCTGTTGCTGCTGGTGTTGCTGCTGCTGCTGGTGGCTGTGATGATGATGATGTGGCTGCTGCTGGGCCGCCGCACTGAGCTCCTTCTTGCGCTTCCGCTTGCGACCGCCCGAGGAGGTGGCACCGGAAACGGAAGCGGACAACGAGGCCGCCGCCGATGGCACCTTGTCTCCGAAAATGCTGGAGATCTTGGAGCTGAGCAGCGAGAGATTCGGCTCATTGCGACACAGGTCCTTGATCGATTTGCCACTCTTCTTGATCGCCTCGAACAGGTTGTCATCGCTGAACTCCGCATCGCTCTGCAGCGATCCGCTGAGCATGGAGCTCTGGTCCTCGAGGCTCTTGCGCCGCCTCCTCGGTGCTTGCTCTGTGAACGAGGAGGGGGAGACGACGGCCGCATTAGGGCGTGGCTGCGTGGCCGTGGCCGTCGCCGTCGCCGTCTGCTTACCCAGAAAGTCCACCTTCATGCCGCCGGAATAGGCATCGAACGTATACGCCACACTCCTCTCGATCTTGGGCATCTGCTCCTGGGTGTAGTTGTGCACCTTCTTGTAGTGGAACTGCAGGCACTGCTTGGTGGTGAACGCCGCATTGCACTCCGGTTCGGCGCATCTGTCAGATAAAAAGTGTTATATGAGATTATAATGATTCTATCACATAGATGATGGTTTCCACCCACTTGAACGGCCTGACGCCCGAGTGGGTCAGCATGTGAATCTTGAGATTGCTGCGATTCTGGAAGAGTTTCTGGCACCGCGGACAGCTCACCACCGTCGAGTTGCGGCTGTGCACCTCCTTCGAGTGGCGCTGCAATGCCGCTCGCGATCCTAGAAGTTTTGAACATAATTTACACTGAAAATCTCGTAAAACTTCAGCCATATCTAAAATGAAATTGTATGAAGAAAATGAAATTTCGGATTGTGGTGATTTTGAAAGAACAACTTAGTGATAATCCATAACCAGAAACCAACCCAACAACGAACGAACCAACGAACGAACAACGAACATAAAACAAAAAGCCGAATCACAAAAGGCACGGATCACAAGATTTTGGGGATGGCAATCATAAGGTCTGGACTATTGGGCTTTATTCTATAACCAATGACCGACAAAACCATAAACAAACCAAGGCAAATCATTCACTAAAAGCGGTTACACAATGCAGACTACTTTTCTGGGCTAGTACTCAAAATGCACTGCGACTGAAGGACTGCTATTTATCATCTGAAGCTGATATTTGCAAAAGTATGACTTATAAGTATGGTTTTAAAGTACTGAAACAAATTATTCGTTTAAAATCTAATAACTAGACTTGGATTATATGTAAAATCATTTCCTAATCATCCGTCAAATTATTATATCAAACTATAAATAGATCAAAGTTAAAAACCATGATGATTTTGTAACAATTACATGATGTTTGTCATATATTAAGTATAACTGGAAACCGGAAGTTTAAAAAGGATTTTACACATAATCCGTCGTTTACAAATCATTTAAAATTTTATTTTACTCTTTTATTATTCGTAGAAAATGGAGATGGCTTTCTTTTAAAGAAATAGTATTCAATATTTCAAACCTGTTAGAAACCTGTTAGGACTTTAGAAAACGAATATAGATTTTTTGTTTAAAAAATTGCAATTATATTGAACGTAAAGACCCTATGAACTGTTAGTCAAAGAAACATTCTATCTTAGGATTGTAACTATAAGCGAATCTTTTTAAATTTATTTTCTAAAAAAAAATACGGAACCTTTTTTAAAGAAATGTCCACTATCTTCACAATTATTTATTCTGAAAAGAATTAAGAGTTAAGAAGCACCTATATGATCAACAATTTTCAGTCACTTCAGTGCGGAACTAAATGTGTGATTGTCATACGATATTTCAATAATGAATAATAGCATATACAAACGAAATACAAACTCCAAGTAACTAACAAAGGATCGGTAAAGTATACATATCAACCAATTTAGGCGGTGTTCAACTAAAAAGTTTGGCAAATAAAGAGAGATGAGCGATCGCAGATGCTTTTAGTGTTACACATATCGCGAGTGTTGCTGTGATGGTGACTTTGGGTGTTGTGGCTTAAATATTAAAGCTAATTTTACAGCTAAGCGACTCTTTACGATTTACGATTGGATCATAGGACATTATTGTGTAGATCTATTGTTGTTGTATGTGTGTTGATATTAGCGAATCAAGGTCACGGTTTCCACCTATACCAATAAAAATTACCTTTTTTAATAAACAAAATATATAGAATTTTCATTAGGATAATCTACGAATAAAATATACGTTCGTTTAAAAAAATATTGTTGAAAATTTGTTTTTATACCAATCAAATTCATCCCTTATGGTAATAGTTTTATAAAATTTAAGAACTGAGTAATTTGAATTCAGCAAAAAAAGAATCTTAGCACTAAGAGATATTATAAGCATTTGGAAAAATAAAAAAATTAAAAAACTTAACTATTGTGTGGGAATTGTGACTCGATTCGATGTTAGTACAATACTAGGCAAGTATATTGATTTATGCAGAAGCTTACGGTACATACGACATACGGTGTCTATGCTATATGCTATATACTATATTCTATATGCTATACAATGTTTACGACACACTATACACGAGCTTACGACATACGGTATGGCAGTCAGTTGGCCTACGATGCGGCTACGTTATATTGGGTTACGCATACGCATGGGTGTACGATCACAGTTACGGTCTAGAGTTTGGGGATCCGGCGAGCCGTGCGCTGCCAACTTACCGCTGTGCATGCGCTTGATGTGCGCCTTCAGCTTCTGCGGCTGGCAGAACTTCCGGCCACAAAAGTCGCAGACGGGTCGCGATCGATTCGGGTTCGAGGCGCATCCGTAGGTCCGGTGCATCTCCAGGTAGTTGAGCCGCAGGAAGAACTTGCTGCAGAATTGGCACTGGTACGCCCCCTTGCCGTCGTGCTTCTCCGCCGCATGCTTCATGATGTTGTCCTTGCCCAGCACGGGCTCACCGCACACCTTGCAGTGGTACTTGCGGATGGTCAGGCTCATCGAGGGATCGTGGAAGACGGAGCAGTGGGTGCGGTAGTACAGGGGGTGCTCGAACTTCAGGTTGCAGCCGCCGCAGTCTATGGTTATGGGAAGAAGCAGACGTTAGTTAAGGAAGTTAAGTAAGAAATCTGTGACGGCACCATGGCCTAAAATATTTAAAATAATTATCTTTACGAAACGCGAATTCTTCAGGATGGCATTGTTGCAAATCCGTGATGGCCCCATCAACCACAATATTGCAATTAGTTATAATCAAAGAAAAGCGAATTCTTCAGCATTGCAATTTGATATTATAATACAGGAATTCGAATCGTGGATTTACGAAAAACAATTGCAAGGTTTTAAGCTTGATTATACCAACATTTATGGTATTTAATAGTTGCAAGAAAATAAGATTTGAAAAATACGCGAATTCTTCAGTATTTCTGTGTAAAATATTTGGATGGTTATTTGGAACATTATAACAATTCCAATTTAACACTACTTAATGTAGTGATATTCAGCAGGATTATATTCATGTTCATGGTCTTACAAAGAAGTTATAATTTAAAAAACGAAAAGCATTTCGAATTGAATAATATTTATAAAATATTTGGATAGTATATGCCGAAATTGAAAACATCATATCAATTATTTACATGTTTTTAGACTGGATTATGAATGAAGTTGAATTTAAAAAAAAAAACGCGAATTCTTCAGTATAAAGCAAATGTATCGTAGTTACAGTCCTGTGCCCATCTACTCACTCGTCTTCTCCGTGTGCTTTTTGCGCCACATGGTGTTGCAATCGTCGCTCCAGTAGAGCAGCTCCATTCCATTCCGCAGGTCGCGACAGCTGACGAAGTACGCCTGCCGATCGATGGACACCAGGTTGACATTGCGGTCCTCGTAGCTCGGCGCGGGTCGTACGAATCTCAGCCAGTTGGAGGCGTTGGGATTGTCGCAGCACAGCAGATACGATTTGTCCGCCCCGGCCTCGCACATCTCGAAGATCCACTTCATGTCGCTGCCCTCGCGCACCTCGCCAGTCTGCACCGGCTGTCCAATGAGTGGGCCCAGTTTGGTGAAGGCCCTCACCTCGGTGCGGGCAAACACACCGGTGACATTGGGCTCCACGTTGTGCAGCTCGAACTCTGCCGGCACGGAGGCCTCGGCGAAGGTGATCAGCGGCTTGGTCTCCAGCTCGGACAGCTGCGACGACTCATCCATGTCCATGTCCATGTCCTCCATATCCTCCATGTCGTCATCCTCGTGCCGCTGACGTCCGCTGGCCCGCTTCGCCTGCCGCTGGGCATCGGCCTTCAGCTTGGCCAAGGCCTCCAGATTGCGTCGCTCGATCCATTCGCCCAGATCCACGGCATCCGTCACGTTCCCACAGGCATTCCGCAGCGGGCACAGCTTGTGATCGTGGGCAATGGAGCATTCGCGGCAGGATTGCTGCGACCGGAAGGCGATGTCGTGCTCATCCTCCTCCTCCACGAAGTTCTGCTCCATTTTCATTTCGCGGGCGAGGGCCTCCTCGTCCAGTTCTTCATCCTCCTCGTCGTCCTCCTCGGGTCCACCGATGCCGCCGCCACCGCCGCCGGGCTCATCCTCGTGCTCGTCATAGGAGTTTGGCGGCATCATGGCCGCCGCTGCCGCTGCTGCCGCCGCCGCCGCTGCTGCTGCCTTGGCCGCCTGGGATTTCTTCGATCCCTGGGACTTGGAACGCACATGGAAGTTGCCCGCCTGGCCATTGCTAGCGGTGATCCCATCGACGGCATCGGAGGGCGCCAGGACGGGCAGGAGGTGGGGATGGGGCGTCTGATCCTCATCCTCGTCCTCCTCCTCGCTGCCATTGGCCGCTGCTGCTGCAGCCGCCGCCGCCGCTGCCGCCGCCGCTGCCTTCTTGAGGCACAGGGCATTGGGCAGGGACTCCTTGCTGTTCGCCTCCAGTTCGCTTTTGATCTTCTCCGCGATCCGGCAGTCCAGGACCTCCGGCAGGGCGGAGGAGGCGGCTGCCGCGGCAGCCGCTGCTGCAGCGGCTCCGGCCTTCAGAGCCGCCGTTGCCGCCTTGGCCTCCTGCTTCTTGGACTTGGCATAGCTGAAACCAGGTCCCGCTGCACTTGCTCCACCCGATCCCGCTCCCGATCCCTTGCCCTTGCCGGCGAAACCATTCAGCGCCTCGGAGGTGAACTGCACTCTCTTCTTGTAACGCTTGCGTTGCGGCGCTGTGGGCGTGGCCATTGGAATGGAGGCGGCCGAGGTGGAGTCGCCATTTCCGTTTCCGCTCGTATTGCCATTTCCGCTGGCGTTGCCATTGATCGAGGATTCGGGCGGTGCGGCAAAGTCCTTGGCGCTGAGATTCGGCTCCAGCTTGAAGTTGCCGTCGAAGCCTTTTGTGGGCGTGTTCGCCGGGGAGGGCGGGGGCAGGCTGAAAGGGAGAGGTGGTAAAAAGAAAGAGAGAGTGAGTGGGTGGATTCAATAGTTGCTGAGACACTGGGAACAATTTCTTGTAGATTTCACAACAGCTTTGAAAGCAAAGGGATTTAAAAAAAGGGGGGTGAGTGGGTTGATTAGATACTTAGTTGCAGGGACACTGAAAACAATTCAGAGTGGCTTTTCCAACAATTAAAAAACTTTTTTGAGTATTTGGTAAGGAAAACATATTCTGCCTTCAACTAAAAACAGTGATTCAAGTTACATACTTCATATTATTATTAAATAAAGAACCTCATGTAGACCTTCTACAAATTTAAAATGTTTTAAAATCATAGACCAAGGAAAGTGAACTAAAACAAATTTCTTTAAAAACTCCTTGTATATTACATTGATCGGAATAAAAACCTTGACTTAATGTTCCAGCAAAATGAAAAATATGAGTGCTGTTAAAAATAACACTATATAGTAAATACTATTTTGAAAAGCAAACTATTTTTGGGTGTAGTATGATAAAAAGAGTGGATACTACAGTTGGCGGGGCTGTGAAAGTGGGTCGATGGAATATACTTATTTCTGGTTTACGGCCCAGTCCCTTATCCTTTTTGCCGGACCAGAACTTCTCCCCCTCCCCTCTCCCCATCGCGTTCTGTCCTTCCTTGTTGTTGTCGCCTTTGCGTTTAATTAATTTTGCTTACGCTTTGCTTGCTGTTTCGCGTGCCGCTCGAGGGGTCAAAGGGAGGAAAAGGAAGGAATCGCTATAGGAAAAGTCTGGACCACCGCCTGAATAAAAGGCCAAATAGGTACGAATACCCAAATACCCTGGGAATGTACTCAAAGTTTGTATTTATTTACGAAAAAGGGTGGTAAAGTCATTTTCCATTGTCTCTTTTTGCTTATAAACCAAAAAGATTCGAAAATAAGGCTGAAATAAAATTCAGAAAACCACTAAATAGTTATAATCCATATAAATGGTTTGCATTACCGTGCTAAAATACATGAGTTGATTAACTGAGAATCAGACAGCTAATAATTAGAGCTAAACATTAGATTTTTAAAATTATGGCTGTTTCTTTTTATCATATAAAACATTTTTGGAATATTATAGTAAAACGATTTAATAGATCATGTTCTTCTGTTATTTTAAAAAAAATCTTGTTTGCCCTTCTCTCAAATCCTTAGCCATTCTCCAAACCTTGATTTCATATGTCTCAGCAACTAGTTGTTGGTAAGAAATTTTAGAGGACTGACTGCTCGAAAAAAATAGTTTAAAACTTTTTTTTTTGACCCCATGGACACCCAAAACATGGCAGCAATGCAGTTACACATCCGCTAGCCGGCAACCTTTGATTTTCCATCGTTTGAATTCGTGTGGAGGAAATTCATCAACGGTCGCATTGAGTGCGATACGATGTTGGGCGCTGAACACTAGATGCTGCACATGCCACTTGGTTTCCCTTCCATCAGCACAAGCCCGCCCCCCCCCCTTGTAATCCCCGCCCCTGTGTTATCGTTCATTAAATCCTCCACCTTGGAAACATAACAACAATATCGAAAACAGCGGCAACAGCAAACGATACCATTCCATCTAGCTATCCAGCCATGTAGCCATCCTCCCGCCCTATCAGCCCCACCATCCCATCACCATACACCACCCTCTTGGTATCCACTTACCCTGCTCCACTTTGTCTCAACCTTCCACCCAAACCCCAAGCCCCAAACCCAATCCCAAAGCCAACCAACCAACCAACCCATCATCGCGCTTCTTTGACCGCAGAGAGCGAGCATATTCCTGGTTCCAGTTCCAGTACCAGTTCCAATTCCATCCATCTGACGACGGGGGTTCCGTGCTCGGGACCTTGGGTTTTGGGTTCTGGGTTCTGGGTTCTGGGTGGTGGTGGTTCCTATTCTGGTGAATGCGAGTGTCTCTACCATTAATGTGCTGCTTGAGGGCCCAGCGGGGGGTGCTCTAGTGGGTGTTCTAGGGATGGTATAGGGGTGATCTAGGGGTGGTCTAGGGGTGGTCTAGGGGTGGTCTAGGGGTGGTCTAGGGGTGGTCTAGGGGTGGTCTAGGGGGTGGTCTATTGGGTGGCTCAGCTCGGTGGGTTTTTCGATGTTCGAGGCTGGGGAGTTTGGGATTCTGTGTTTCGTGTGCGGTGCTCGTTGGCGCATTAAGCACACAGTCGGCGGCACAAACGAGGCTCTCACACAGATATATAGCACACATAAACGCACACACACACCCATACACTCGCACTCTCACAAAGACAATCGCACAACAATTTTGTGCTTTTTGGCGAAAATTCGCAGAAATTGGCGACATGGCGTATACGAAATGTGAATTGGCAAAAGGCAACGAAGGAAAACAGTGGTGTTATATGGATGTTACGGGGTGATACGGGGTGGTATAGGGCCAGTGGGCCCCCAAGGTTGGGGGTGGGATATTATCTATTGTGCCTGGGTGTGAGTGTGTGTGTGCCTGCTGAGACTGTGGAAAATCGCAATGCCGCAAGGAGATGGAAAAATGAGGCTGCTGATTAGTGGGAGAACGCTACGAATGTGCGAATGCCGATGCAAGGTTCTTCGATCCTATATGATATCATCTATTTTATGCTAACGCAACCTAAATCTGAATTTCTTCTTAAATGCTTTAGTTCAAATATAATATATTTTTATCTGTTTCCTTTGTTCCAATAAAACATGGTGTTTTTTGTAGTCACATAGTCAGAAAAACAAATCCTATAGTCAAGTCGAAACTCTTAAAATCTTATTTAACACCATTGCATTTCATTTTTGGCCTGGACTTAAATACATCAATTCTATTTTTTCTATGCATTTATTGCTTAAAAAAAAGCAAACTACATTCCATCTAAAGTCCAGCAATAATTATAATCCCCCAAAATGGGTAGAATGAAAGATGATTTCAAAGGCGGCTTAAGCTCGATTGCTGTTTTATCCAATATTTTATATAGTTTAAGAAATATTAAACCATTGTACATATTTCCCTATTAGTTTTTTAAGTTCCAATGACTGCTCTCCGAAATGGGATATTGTTAGCAACTAGATACCGCCAGTTGGTCTCATATTCACATGTGGTGCAAGGTGTGCTCTAATGATCGAATCGAGGCTCCTCTCCTGGCCCCAAAAAGGACTCGGATATGTGTGTTATCCAGGCAACAACCTCCTTCTCCTCGTGCCATTCCCCTCGAAACCCAGCCAATGCCAAAGGAAGTGGCCGATAGAGAGCAGGAGGCGGGGGAGGGGGGAGAGACGGAACACAACTGAGATTCAGACATTTCTGCATTGGGATTTTGCATTTGGTTAAGGAGAGCCCCCTCCCCCTCCCCCAACCCCAACCCCCTCCCTTCATATTCAAAGCGCCAAATGGCGCGCTCGACTGCAATGCAACAGCAGCAACAAAAAGAGCGAGGCGTGGCAGGGGGCGGGGGTGTACCAAGAGAGGAGTGGCAGGGGGGAGGGGGGTGGTGTGCTGGGGGAAATTCGCGACGCATTCACGTTGCAAGGATCCGAAGGAACCTCCCAGTCACATGTATGTGTGCGTGTATTCCTTCTCCCTCGCTCTGTTTTCTACACTGCGGATATTGAATTTCATTATAAAGTCCTTTACCACTCTGTTGTAATATCAGCTTGTAACATCTGGCAAATCTTCATCAAAACTAAAAATATGTCATTACTTAAAATTATAGTTCTTAAAGTCCAAATAACTTAAAAATAGCCAGATGAAACATATCAACATTCTTGAAGACACGCCGTAACATATAAGAAAATTTGGTTTTGTATAGTTCTGAAGTTCCGCATAGGTGGATATATCATACTAATTAAACTTCAATGTCCATCTAAAACAATTTTAGTTTTATCTTTCATTTGGGGTTGTTGAATTTAAGGTTTAAAAATAATTTATTCTTGCACTACCACAGCCATGTAGATGGTATAAAATATAATATCTCGTTTAAATCCCCATCAGTACTTAAACATTTTTTAAAGATATATAAGAAAATGTACTGAATTCAAAGCCCATCTACACCTATTTCGAGTTTTTCCTTGTTCATATAAGGGCTTGAAAAATACATAATAATTGCATAAGAAAATGAAGTTAATTCAAAGCCCATCCATACCTATTTTGATTTATTCTTTTCACTTATTGTTGTTTATATAAAAATCCTTAAAAAATAATTCAAAATTGCTTTTCTGTATAGAACCCTCTAGATGGTATAAATTTAGTGTCTGGTTAAATCTTTAAAACACGTCTTGATACATAGGAATATTTTTCAAATACTACTGTGAGCAGAAAGTATTGTGAATTTGTTTGTAAAATTAAAAATCTTTATTATTTAGAAGAATAATCTAAGTTAATTTCATTCCCTTTAAAGCAATCTCCGCCCGATAAAATACATCTATGCCAACGATTTTTCCAATCCTCGAAACATGCCAAATAATACCTTTCGCATAACGCTCAAATAATATTCCTTAATAAAAGTTTGGCCGGGTGGAAGGAATCCATAGAGCACCACATCCAAAAATCGAAAGAAAAAAATTTCACCTTACTTTTGTGCCCACACACTAGTGCATCAAACTGATCAAAGTCCAATGTCCATCCAGCCCATTGCCCCTTCACCTAATGTTGTTAATACTGAGGCTTAGAATCAATTAATAATTGCTTTTCTGTAAGCTGGTAGATAGTATAATTATATTGTCTGGTGCTGCCTCCCATCAAGCATATCTGATGGCCCAACATTTTGTGATTGCCGAACAATGCAGCTTTGTTTCCAAATGATTGCCTTTGTGCACCACCAATTTCGGTCGGTGCATGTAGGTGTATGTGCGTGTAAGTGGGCGATTGGCAACATGGCATGCAAATGCAGCAGGCAGCAGGCAGCAGTCATCAGCAGCAACAACCGCATGGCCAGCCCCCTGAGCCCCCTGAACCCCCTACCATCCCCCCCCCCTCCCATTTGGCTTGAGTTTGCGCCTGTGTGCGCGTGTGAGTGTGTTGCTTTTTCCGCTTCCGCTGACATGGCGGCAGCGACTGCGAGTCGAGCACAGCGGGCTACGGTTCCGAGACTACGGTTCCGATTCCGACTACGGAAAGTACGGAAAATACGGAATATGCTCGGAATATGCGGAATATACGGAATATATGTACGGCAGAGTACGGCAGAGGCGCCCGGAGTGGTGGCAGCAACATGAAAGCTCCGTTGCATGCAACCGCATGAGTACCGCATTTGTGCCTTTGTATCACGCGGCCAAAAGGGGTTGCTGGTGGGGGGAGGGGGTTGGGGATGTTGTTGTAGGGTTGCTTATGGAGTGGTGGGGTGGTGGGGCGGCCAGGATGCATTCGGGCATGAATCGCTTTTACATGGATCGCTTTTGTACCGCTCGCTTCTTGTTCTTCTTCCCTTTTTGCCGCCTCCCGTGGCACTTGAGCCACCATCCCAAAAAAAACAGGGAATTTCTCCGTGTGTGTGTGTGTGTTTGGGAGCCCAAAAAGCTCTCTATGTGTGCGAGTTCATATCTGCGAACCACTATCAACAATGATGGCCAACGAAGCGTTGCCAGATCTCCCACTTTCAGCCGATTCCACTCTTTTGTCTCCCCTTTTGGGACGAGCTTAATTAACAGAGCAAGATATAAACAAGAAATGAAGGATATATTCGCACAACCGACCCCTTACTTTTTATAAACAATATTAAAAACTTTTCTGCCTTCCTTTTTCTTCGATTTTTTCTATTCCTGGCAAATTTGGGGAAAATATATACATATGTATATGGCGTGAGGCTTTCATAGCTCAAGAAACTATAATATTATTTGGAATTCCTAAACGTCTAAAAAATTTTGATTTTTGTAAAAGGAATTTATTCAATTGGTAAAAATTATTAAATTCTCGTCTTACCCAATTTCTTATAGCAAGTAAATTATATGGCTATTTTAAGTTTCTAACTCAGATCACACATTAAAATGTTCGAATGGTGTTTGGTATTAGCCAAACAATCAAGTAAATACCTGTTGCATTTAGCTTTACTAACCACAACATTTTAAGTGTCATATGATATGCGTATGATTTAAGAAACTATTATTGAATTAAGGACTTAGGATTAGTAAAAGGTTTTTAAATTGATGGGTGGATTTCGGAAATAGTTTATTTTTAAGAGGGGTTTCTTGGAAACCATGCCAGAAACATGATTAAATAATACTTTTATCTAGGTCCCTTGGTATCCGAAAAAGGGTATTAATACGAAAATATGTATAAAAAAGTAATATTAAGAAGGTAAAAATTATAATATAGGGACTGATTTTGGTACACGGAGGAGGTTTTTTTTTCCATATTGGATGTGTATGTAAAGTGATTAAGTAGAACTCATGTTATAAATATTAAAAAACCCAATAAACTCACTTGTTTAGCCGATCCGTGTCGTTATCCGCCAGGTTGAGAAGGTAGGCCACGAACTCCACATCGTTCTTGAACTGCAGCCGGGTGCGCATGTGCTCCCACTTCTCGGCGTTCTTGGTGCCGATGTAGATGTTCTTGCTGTAGTTCTGATGGCGGTACTTCCGCCGCTCGCTTGCCGCGCTACTGCTTCCCCCGCTACCGCCGCTGCCCCCGCTACCGCCACCGTGTTGCTGCTGTTGCTGCTGCTGCTGCTGATGTTGCTGCTGCTGCTGCTGCAGGGATGAAGGGTTCATGCCCATGCCCAAGGACGAACCGCCTCGGGAGTTGCCGCCACCGGTGGCCAACAGATCGTTGCTGCAATTCGTGCCCTGACCGCCCGCCCCCATGCTCCCATGCGTTGAGCTGAGGGCGTGGTTGCTGTTGTTGTTGGTGGAGAAGCTGGTGTTGCTGTTGCCGCCCAGCAAACTACTGGGCGGTGGCGGGGCAATGGGCGTGGCCATGTCCAAGGCATTGGCATTCTGATGCTGCTGCTGCTCCAGCTGGGCACTCAGCTTGGCGGCCGAGGCAGCCGCTGCCGCCGCCGCTGCTGCTGCTGCCGCCGCTGCCGCTGCCATATGGAGACCGCTGCTCTCGGCGGCAGCGTTACTGTTCAGGTGGGAGGAGGAGAGGGTGGCACGGCTGTCCAAGTGGCTGCTGGCCACCTCGTCCTCATCCTCGTCATCCTCATCCTCCTCCTCGCCCTCATCATCGTAAGCAGCGGACTCGTGTTGCTGCTGCTGCTGATGTTGCTGCTGTGCATGTTGCTGCTGTTGCTGCTGCTGATCATGGTTGCTGCTGGGCAGCACATGTCGCAGGTCCGTGGGCGTGAGGTCATGCCCATTGCCCTGCTGATGCTGCTGCTGCTGGTGCTGCTGCTCCTCCTCGTCCTCCTCCTCATCATCGTCGTAGTCCTCGTCCTCGTCCTCATCGTCTTGCGGCTGCTGTGATTGCTGCTGTACCTGCAGATGATCGTCGCGATCTCGCGACTTGCTGTTGCCGTTATTGTTGTTGTTATTGTTATTGTAGTGCTGCTGCTTGTTGCCATTGTGCAGCGCACTGACCGCCGCTGCCACTACGGCCGCCGCTGCCGCCGCCCGCTGCTGCTGCTCTGCCGCCAGTTGCTGTTGTTGCTGCTGCTGTTGCTGCTGCTGTTGCTGCTGCTGTTGCTGCTGCTGTTGCTGCTGCTGCTGCTGTTGCTGGTGCTCCTCCTCCTCTTCCTCGTCCTCCTCGTCGTCATCCTCTTCGTCCTCGTCCTCCTCCTCGCCCACGGCTGGCGATGAGCGGAATGTCTGTGGTGGCACAAGGTGTTCCAGAGATGGTGATGGTGATGGTGGAGTGGTTTCATTGGAAGAAACGAGAGATAGACAGCCACAAATTAAAAAGTTTATCCAAATAACGAGAAAAGCTAAGAGGTCTAAGCTATGAGTGCACAGAGAAAAAATACACACAAGAATCAATTCCATATTCGCATAGTCAACTTATTAGTTATAATTTTAACCAATGCGTAATTTTAACTTCATATTAAGGAATGGTATTTAATAGATCTTCGTTTCTAAGTTTATAACAAAATGATCTTAATATCTTATTCATTTTTTTCTCTGTGTACTTTTAACGTTTTCGTATGTCACTTACAGCATCGTTAAGTACCGTAAATGTATTGCCTCTTAAAAAACATAATTTCTAAAAACTTATTCTTATAAACTAAACTTATTTGTTCTTAAACACAAGAATTTTATTTATAAATTGAAAACTGTATTGTAAAAAAGTAAGAAATAGTTATTAATATGTGATCCGGTTTTCACTTTTACAAGTGTTTTTCGTTTTGCTTCTCAATACGCAAAAACGCATGGTTATGGGAACGGCATTAGAAAAAAAGAGAATTTTATTTGAAAATTACAAAAGAGTTATAATTGACTTATTTACTTTCATTTGCCACCAGCACTAGAAAATCAAGGACGCATTTATCTTCAAAAAATATTATTTCTGACCCCAACTGAAAATCAACTGGAAGGGAATAGCTCTGACCAAAAAACCAACAATAAGATATTGTAGGGGTGTGTAGGGTGAGGTGACGAACTCGTCAAATCTCACATGTGACGTCACGTCAAAAATTGCAAATATTTCTAGTCGATTCCTCTTATGGTGCCGACAATGTATTTACAATAATATTACTTTAATTATAATTAATAATTTGTTCGTAAGATAATTTGGACTAAGAAGGTGGAGCGTAAATTAAAAAACCTATTCAATTTATTTGTTTTTCAGCATTAATATCAGTATTAATAAGATCTTTAGCAACAGTTCTTAATATATCATATATCATCATTAATCATTAATGTATCATATTTTCAACAGTACCTTGTAGGGTATCGTGACGAACATTTCGTATAATTAAGGATTTAATTTCTTTTCGGTATTTGTTGACATTAAATCGATATATGTTTATTTTTTACAGCCGATAGCTACAAAAATATTTATTTTTTGGAACAAGGAATTGAACACCTTAATTTTGTTCAATTTAAACCCAGATCGGAAGTATGCATTCCATTATTGTACATTTGTAAGCTTTTTTGAAGAAAAAATACATCTTTGTCACATTTGCATAGAGATTTAGTGCGTATTTATCAGTTCGTTACCTTACCCTACAACTTTGAAAGTTGACACAAATATTGGTTAACGCCAAGAGCTGAATATTTGACTCAGCTGGAATTTTCCCATCGAACTTTTTCAGGAGTGTGCTCAATAGATGCCAGCAACTTTCTGCTTTCAAAGCTTTAAAAAAAATTAATTTTTTGAAAAGTGAAACTCAAAAACGAATCGCTTGTCACTATACCCTACACTCCCCTAATAACTTATTGTATTAATATGTATTTGGAAATACTATTTTATGCTAGTTATTTATTTTGATGTTTTGGTCACCTACTTTATTTTAACCAGGATATCGAATAATTCCTCAAATTAAAGGCCATATGACATTGGCTTGATTTTTGAGTAACTGACTGGAAAAAAAATGGAAGCCGATCTTTTGATACTTAACAACATATAGGTTGATTAAATGTTGTAAAGCTATAGACCATCGTTTCTTTAGGTTTCCATAACTTTTTTAAATTTGTCCAATGAGGGGGTCGAAAATCAAGCTAGTGTCATAGGGCCATAAAAGTTAAAATGAGGTTATAATGAGTGTGATGGGATGCTAGGAGTGTGTGATCTAGTTTTAAAAGCTTTAGTGACTAACTTAGCTTATACGGCTAACTTAGTTAAGGTGGCTAGACCTAATTGGGGGCTCTACTTACCCCGACGGAGGCATTGGGACTGGGGGTGACCGCCGAGCCCGCCGAATTGTTGCTGATGTTGAGGGCGGCTGCTGCTGCCGCTGCTGCAGCGGCGCGGCTCAGGAAGGGTGGGCGTGGCACCAGGGGCGTGTCGGAATTATCGGAACTATCGTTAAAGTCGAACGCACTAAAATCGGTGGCATTGGCGGCATTTGTTGCACTTGCTGCTGCTGCTGCTGCTGCTGCGGCGGCTGCTGCTGCTGCTACTGCTGCTGCTTGTGTTGCTGCTGCATTAGGAATCCCGCTGCTTGTTTTGGACATGCTGCTGGCGTCGCTGCCGACGCTAGCGTTGCTGCTGCTGCTGCTGCTGCTACTGCAGCTGCTGCTGCTGCTGCGACTGCGACTCCGACTGCAGCGCTTGTTGCTGTTGTTGTTGTGGCTGTGGCTGTGGTTGTGGTTGTTGTTGCTACCGCCGCTGCTGCTGCTGCTGCTGTTTACCGCTTGTCGCCGCTTGGATGTTGCTGTTGCTGTTGCTGCTGCAGTTGCAATATGTGATGCTGCTGCTGCTGCTGTTGTTATTTTTAGTGTTGCCTTTGTTGTTGCTGTTGCTGCGCTTTGCCGAACGCTGCTCAGTTTTTGCTATTTATTGTTGTTGCTGGCGCTGCTGCGACGCGAGTTGTTGTTGTTGCTGTTGCTGTTGCTGCCGGGGCGGCCTGTCTCCGATTCCGCTTCAGATGGCGCCTTGCTCTGCCTCTGCTGCTGCTGCTGCTGTTGTTGTTTCTGCTTCTTCTTCATTATTCACACACACAAGTCGCGCGTGCGACCCACTACACTTTTTGTTGTTGCTGCTGCTGCTCTGGTTGCTGTTGTTGTTGTTGCATTGCTTTACCACAGCTTATCTTTAAGGATTCTGTTTTTTTTTTTTGTTTTTCGTAATTTTTGTATGTTGTATTTACGAGAAATGTTAAGAATCCATTGGGAGGAAAAGGAAAAACTGAATATCTATCAGCAATGCCGCCGCTGCTACTGTCGACGTCGACGCCGACTGTGACTGCGACGGCGACGGCGACGTAGGGGAAACGCGAAAAGGCAGTGAAAAAAAAGTACCGTTCGCCGAATGCCACTCGCTGAAGCTCCCTTCTTTGGCACCGGGTGGCAACGCTGCCAGGGAATTTTTTCCCTTTTTTCGTGTTGTTTTATGTTTTTACTTATTTTTTTAAGGTGCCCCCGTCACTTTTTTGTATAGATGTATGGGGAATGTTTACTTTGCGAATTGCGTTTAATTTTTTTACTCATTTGCCCCTATCAGCTGGAATTTTTATTTATTTGCTATTATCAATTTATTGGTTAAATATGGGGGTCCTGTCACTGGGACTTGTCATCAAGAATGTGCCAAACGTGTGTTTTTGTGGCACATCCTTGCGGTTTTTTTTAGGTTTTTATGGTTAGGAGAGCTTGTCTTGTTATGATGGCTCCTGCTGCTCCAAGGATCACACACACACACACACACATGCACGAATAACATAAGGTTGCGAATTTTTTCCAAAGACCTTTTTCACCATTCACTTACGATCAAAAAAATAAACAAAAAATTTAACGCATTTCAGCTGATTTTTCAGCTTTTCCTTTTGTTTTTCACCAGCGACTTTCAGGCTGTTCAGATATTTTGTTGTTATTGTTGTGTTCGCTGTTTCGATAATTTCGTTACTATTTCATTTTTTTGGAGGACAAGGGTGTGTGTGTGTGTGTGAGTTGGTGTATTGGTGGGGCACCCAACGGAAAAGAGAGAGTGAGAGAGAGAGAGAGCGCGAGGCGGTGGCGGTTTTCGCCCAGTGGGGGACGAGCGAAAGGGGTGGCAGGGGGGTGGGTGGCTGGGTGGTTTTTGTGGGTGGCTTGGGGGTGGTGGGCTCAGCTAGACGCCTCGCCTTCTTCTGCTCCTTGAGCAGCCTTCCTGCTGCCGCTGCTGGTGGCCTTTCTTACACAGTTTTCCACGTCTTTTCACTTTTCACTCGAAAATAACTTGTCAAAAAAATAAACGAAGCACACTTTTCAGCGGTCTGGCACTTTTTGCATTAATTTAACTGCCAATCTATTTGGCAATCTGGCTTGATTTCTTTTTTTTTCTGCTATTTTTTCCTCCTCTGCCTCGGTTCTTCTTGGGCTTTTGTCGTCCGCCGTTCGTGATTAGCGATTTCTCTGCGAGCGCTCATATGCCGTTACTCGCTGGTCGCGACGGAATGAAGGACTTTTTATTTATGTGTATGTCCTCGCCGCAGTCGCAACGGCTGGCAGCGACGCCGACAGCGACGGCGACGGCGGCAGCGCCACTGCCTCCTGCGCTCTTCGTTGCGAAAAAGTCCTGCGAAGCCGCCGCCGCCAAAGGACCCCCCTTCCCGCCGCCCCTCCCCCTCTCGCCCACCAAAAACACACACACACACTCAAACGTATGGATTACGGAGAGCCTTTCGCCCCTTTCTCTCGCTCTCACCTACACACTCGCTCTCTCTCACTTCCTCTCTCAAAAGCTCGCTGAAGTCGCGGCGTCGACGTCGTGTCCTGTCGCTGTTTTTGATGTCGCGATTCCTTTACTGTGTGCGTGTGTATGCGGGTGTCCCTGCCAGTCCGCGTGTGCATGTTTGTGTGTGTGTACTCGCGAATTGAGATGACGACGACAGCAGCAGCAGCAACAACAACAAGAAGGATAACCAGAACTCTGCTGGTGGATACAATTCGCGATTGCACTGCCACAAAAATTGAGTAAGTTACCATTAAAGCGAAACTGTCGTGAAAAGGACCCTCTGTAGTTGCACACTTGTCGGGTTTTTTTTGACAATAGAGCTTGAACCGATTTTCCGTATTATTGGTTCTATAACTATCGGTTTTTTTGGGAATTAGAACTATTCATCGAATCAAGTATTTACCAGGGCAGCGTTCTCTTAAGTTCTTGAAAATTTTAGGAATATTCCAGACCCATTATATAAAAGAACCATTAGAAAATACATGTTTTGGAATATCTTCTGAATGAAATTAAGATTAACAATATTTTATCTAAGTTGTCTGATATTATAACAAAATCAAGTATTTACCAGGGCAGCGTTCTCCTAAGTTCTTAAAAAATTTAAGGATATTCTAGACCCAGTAAATAAAAGAACCATCAAAAAAGATATGTCTTGGAATCTCTTCCGAAAGATATTAAAATTATTGGTAATTTACATAAATAGTGTGATGTTATAATAAAATCAAGTATTTACCAGGGCAGCGTTCTTTTAAGTTCTTTAAAAATTTAAAAACATTCTAGAACCAGTGAATAAAAGAACCACTAAGAAATATATGTTTTGGAGTATCTTCTGAAAGAAAATACCATTACTAATATTTTACCTAAATATGTAGATATTATAATAAAATCAAGTATTTACCAGAGAACCGTTCTCTTAAGTTCTTAAAAAGTTTAAGGATATTCTAGACCCAATAAATAAAAGAATCATTAAAAAATATATGTTTTGGAATATCTTCTGAAAGAAATTAAAATTATTAATATTTTACCTAAATATAAAGATATTATTATTTAAGGAAAGTTAAAAACCTAAGAAATATAAAAACAAATTAACATAGATTCGCTCCAGGTTTGCACTTTTTGAGATAAGTTATCATTTTTTTTTAAAGTAATTTAAACTCAATCGACTATAACATTGATAATTGGATCAGTGTATGACTTTTGCCGCTGCCATTGCTACACATCGACATCTGCGCCAAGTTCCGTTCTCAGCCTCGCACCCGTTCTCTCTCGTCCTGCCCCGCCCCCTCACACACACACTCACACACTCAGATAGGCACGTATTCCGCCCCCACCGCCTCCCCGCGAGTCCCTGTCGGTGTTATCGTTGTCGTTAGTGCGACGACGGCCGTCACAGCCAGCTCACTGAGAGAAATTTCACGGAGAACATTCGTTAATCCATACTCAGTGGTTAATAAAGTATTCCTACTAAAATATGAAAAAAGAACTGGTTTAGTTGTGTCAAAAATGATAAAGAAATCATACTCTTGACTTAGAGATTGCCGGATAACATATTTTTTAAATACTTGTTGAATAGGTTCTATAAAATAAATAAATATTTTTGTAACGTACTTTAATTTTTTTAATTTTTTCCATATACATATATTAAATTTTTTTTAAGTTTCTTTTGTAAATACAATAGTTACAATACAATACAGCTACAATACAAAAATTGTTGCACTTAATATTTGTATTTTCAAAAAATGTACAAGTAAAATATTTTTGTTATTATAAAATGTTCGACTATAATGTAAAATTTACAGGCGAACTTAAATTAAGCTATAGCTAAAAATAAAATATATTTATAATATATATTTTGAAAAGGTTTTGAGTAATGTATCACTTATTTTATATATTTAACATCTAATATTACAGATGACTGTGTTTTTTCGCTCAGTGTGACAGGACTCAGGAGCGACTGGCAGGAGCAGAGCGAATTGGCGCCACCCCCAAAAATCCATGCGAAGCCGCCCGTTCGTTCCACTGCCACTCCCACTCCCACAGTGGTCATAAATCGAATTTTTGTTTATGTGGTGGTAAGGCTGCTGCGAAGCAGTCGCAGCCCCCCCGCCCCCGCCCCCGCAGCCACCCCCTCGCTGCCACCCACAATCGCACCCCGCTGAGTCTGCAGCCAACATCCTGTCATTCCAACAGTCGCGGACGTCGACGTCGCTGCCAGCGCCAATGGTTTACGGTTTGTTGTGTTTCGGTGCCACCAGCAGCAGTGGCAGTGGCAGCAGCAGCGGCAGCGGTGGCAGGGGGTGGTGGGTGGTGGGTGGGCGTTTTGGATGCAGCTCCTTGTTTTCCTTGGCCGTGCGGGTGGTGGTTCTGCCGGGCGCGACGTCGCTGCCTCTGCCGGCGTCGCTGCCTTGGTGGACAGGCGCCTGCGTCGCTCTCAGACATCCTCTCTCTGCTCTCTCTCTCTGGCGCTCTCTTTGCGCCTGCTCTGCTCTCTTCTCGCTGCACCCCCTTTCCCCCTTGTACCACTACCACAGCTCCCTTCCCCCCATCTCACCCACAAAAGGGACACGCTCAGCCTGAACGTATGCAGCGATTTTTTCCGTGTTGCGTTGTTGTTATTCTTCTCGCTGGGGGTTGAAATTCCTTGTGTCCCCCTCCTCCTTCTCCGCCCATGTATAAGTCAGCGCGTGTGTGTGTCCGTGTGTGAAGCGAATGGACAAACAAAGTGTGCGATTGTGACGTCACTTGTGTCAGGAGCAGGGCTGCAGTGCAAAAACAGCAGTACCAGGGATACTGTAAGGCGAATACAGTGAAGTCTCCAAATTCTAGTACACGCAGAAATTAAAAAAGAAATAACAACGGTTAAAAAGTAACTAGATAATAGATTTCACTTGGAATCATGTGATTTAATTATCGCTGTAAATACAAAAAAGATTTTACTTTTGGCTCTATCACTGGATTAGATTACAATGATGAGAGGCAACACTTCTTACAAGTCATTTCCAAATAACTCTATAAATATGGTAAGATATATGAATTAATTTTAAATAAATGCAAGTTAAGTGGTCTTAATTTGTGAACTTGAACCAAAAAGCATTACATAAATATGTCAATACCTATCAGGGTAATATGGAAGATTATTATGAAAAGTTGTTGTCTAGTTGTTAGTAATTTGTTTAATATTTTAATATCATAATATTTCTACATCTTTCCTTATATATTTTTCAAAATTTCGCGTTACAGGCTTGCTACTGTTACTCCTTGAGCGACTCCCTGCTAAAGAGAATATAAAGCTTTAGACCTGCGTATTGTGACACCTGGCTCAATACAAATCATGGTCTTAAAACTCGTTGGTCTAATCTCGCCACTCGCTAATGATTTGAAGTCCAAGAGATATTATTTTAAACTTTTTTTTAAGTAAATAAGTATTTAAGTCGATGCAGTGATGTAGCTCTATTCCATAAACTTTTAACAATAGAATTTCGTGAACTATGTATTTAAGTATTTGATATAATTTGATGCAGGTTGCGAAGTCATCATAAGGGTTTACCAGTGTGACCGTTTATTTTAAATGTGAAAACGGTTTGAAGCAAGGAAATTATTCATTTCCTGTACAAGCCAACAAACACAAACATCATTAGTACATTTTTTAAAATGGAAAACAATTTTGTACTTGTTACTCGTAGAGTAAAAGGGTATTTGAGGTTCATCGAAAAGTATGTAACAGGTAGAAGGAAGCATTTCTGATGATATGAAAGTACATATATTCTTGATCAGGATCACTAGCCGAGTCGATCTAGTTTGACCAAATCGAGGCGTACAGCTAAAAGACCGACTGTTTTGAACAGCTTGCTAGAAATGCTAACAACCCCCATCATTTTAAAGAAAATGTATTTTTTGACCAGTTTTCGCATTTTTGGTAAGGGGTTACATCACTTTTTTTTCGAAAAATGGCAAAAATAAAAAATTTAAGGTTAGAATGCCAATCGATTGGAAATTAAGCAACGAGCTCAGCGAGGTATGACATTCCTTATTCTGACAAATACTTTTGTTTTGGCAGTCAAAAAACTGCATTTTTATGTCGAAAAAAAGGGTTCAAATTTTTGTCAAAAATACAAAACTCAGATTTTTGTCAAAAATGCGAAATTTTTTTTCGCTTTTTCCATCGTAGCTCATCCAAATTAAGGCGTACAGCTAAAAGACCGACTGTTTTGAACAGCTTTCTTAAAATGCTAACGATCCTCATCATTCTTAGGAAAATTTATTTTTTGACCAATTTTCTCATTATTTTAAGGGGCTGCATCACTTTTTTTCGAAAAATGGCAAAAAATGAAAAATGTTTAGGTTAGAATGCCAATCGATTGAAAATTAAGCCACGAGCTCAGCGAGGTATGACATTCCTTATTCTGACAAATACTTTTGTTTTGTCAGCCAAAAAACTGCATTTTTATGTTGAAAAAAAGGGTTCAAATTTTTTTTAAAAATACAAAACTCAGATTTTTGTCAAAAATGCGAAATTTTTTTTCGGTTTTTACATCGTAGCTTAGCCAAATTAAGGCGTACAGCTAAAAGACCGACTGTTTTGAACAGCTTGCTTAAAATGCTAACGATCCTCATCATTCTTAGGAAAATTTATTTTTTGACCAATTTTCTCATTATTTTAAGGGGCTGCATCACTTTTTTTCGAAAAATGGCAAAAAATGAAAAATTTTCAGGTTAGAATGCCAATCGATTGAAAATTAAGCCACGAGCTTAACGAGGTATGACATTCCTTATTCTGACAAATACTTTTCTTTTGGCAGCCAAAAAACTTCATTTTTATGTTGAAAAAAAAGGGTTCAAATTTTTGTCAAAAATACAAAACTCAGATTTTTTTTTCTCATTTCTCTCTTTTTTTCGAAAAATGGCAAAAAATGAAAAATTTTCAGGTTAGAATGCCAATCGATTGGAAATTAAGCAACGAGCTCAGCGAGGTATGACATTCCTTATTCTGACAAATACTTTTGTTTTGTCAGCCAAAAAACTGCATTTTTATGTTGAAAAAAAGGGTTCAAATTTTTTTTAAAAAGACCGACTGTTTTGAACAGCTTGCTAGATATGCCAACGATCCCCATCATTTTAAGGGAAATATATTTTTTGACCAGTTTTCGCAGTTTGGAATTTCAAAATACCGAAATACATGAGAGAAATCCTCCGCAAAGGTATGCAAATCAGACTAACAACGAAATATCCATGTAATTTGTTGTTTTATGCAAGGGCCAAATTAATAGCAACATCACGATTAAAATGAATATGATCAAAATTAACGAAGCAATGATTATCATATTCCCCTGAGTTTATCTAATCCTAGTGTTCATAAGTAGAATCTAGTCCTTCCAAAAGTCTGATTTTTCTGAATGAGCAGAGAAGCCTCTTCCGCAGGGTCTCCCATACATTACCCTATTTAAAAACACAACTGGATAAACCTTTACACCAAAATAAAGTATTATTATTTCTCCATTTAAGTACATCGAATGGCAAAAAATATAAGACCACAAAATTCGGACCTCGGAGCTGGGTGAGGAGCATCTGAAGAAGCGGCGGCGGGCGGATCGCAGCGATGACGACCGTAACCCTTTCATTTAACGGCGTACCTTGCCAACTCGGTTCAAGTTTATAACGCGGTGGCGTCTTTGATTACACACGGCCAGGATCATCAACGATAGTAAGGTTAGGAACAGGATTATGATGCTCCAGTTACTCCACGAAAAGCTTCCCATCCATTGGAGCGGTAAGCCTTCGACAATCATCTCCGCCACCAAGCTATCGATGTCCCATATGAATATAGCTCCCGAGACAAGGAACATAAGGAGAGAGACACAAAAATGCCTTTTGTTGGCCCAGACGAACCGAAAGATATTGTGGTTAATGGGCGACATCGTTAAATAGCTGTGGGTAAACACCTTGAGCAATAGGAGAAGAGTTAAACACGAGCGTTACCTTTATTCTTTTTCAAAAAGTAATGAGACAAAATTTCTTCCAGATACGAACTGATTCGGTTGACTTCTAGAAACCAAGTGAATAATTTTCATATGGCACTAAAGCAAATTGACATTTAGTGCTGCGTTGATGAACAATGTTCTGTTCTATCGATAGATCGCATTTTCAAAAACTTTCTAGTCACGAGAACTAGTTTATCTAAAATTTGGAACTATTTTTTTAAAATACCAAAATAAATGAGAGTAATCCTCTGACAAATTAAACAAATCCGACTAATAACGAAATATCCATGTAATTTGTTGTTTTAAGCATGGGCCGAATTAAAAGCAACATCACGACTAAATTCGTAGTAAAACTATTTTATTTTGTTCATGTACTTTGGAATTTTAAAAGTAAAATTTCAAATTGTAGATAAACTAGTTCTCTAGACTCACAAGTTTTGGAAAATGCGATCTATCGATAGAACATCACTAAATGTCAACGTGCTTTAGTGCCCTATTAAAAAAAATGATACGAATTTTTCACTTGATGTCTAGGAGTCAACCGAATCAGTTCGCATCTGGAAGAAATTTTGTCTCATTACTTTTTGAAAAAGGATAAAGGTAAGGCTCTTGTTTAACTCTTTTCCTTTTGCTCAAGGTGTTTTTCAGTAGCTATTTAACCAGCAGGAACATGGGCAAGGACTTCTACAAGATGCTGGGCCTCCGCCGCGGAGCCACTGACTATGAGATCCGTGTGAAGTACTGCAAGCTGGCACAGCGCTACCATCCGGACATGAACCAGTACCCCCATGCCGCGGAGCGCTTCAATCAGGTGGCCGAGGCCTTCGAGGTCCTGTCGGACAAGAAGAAGCGCGACCTGTTCGACGCTCTGGGCGAGGAGGGTCTCCAGCCGGACAGCTACCAGTTCCACGGTGATCCGTTCGCCACCTTCGCCAAGGTCATCGCCACCGAGGACTTTCCGCTGATCCCAAAGAATGCGCCGATAGAACACGTGCTTCTTGTCACTCTGGAGGAAATAGCCAAGGGGTTCATTAAGAGCCTTGAGATCTCGCAACGGAGGTTCTCGTCCAGCGGCCGACGCTCCAAGGGGAGCCGCTGGACCTCAGCACCGCAGGCGAGGTGATCAGATGGGACTCCACTCGCCGCATCCCGGGCCAGGGACTGCCCCATCAAGTGAACGGCTCGTGCCGCGGCGACCTCGTGGTAGATTTCATCATCGAGTTCCCCGAAACAGTTTCAGAAACTGTTATATCTTTGCTCAAATAATAAAAAACATACTCCTAAGTTCCGATAAGTTCTTTTGAGTAGTTCGCTACAATATGTTATAGTACTGAATAAATTACTGGGTAATAGCGTCTTAAATATAAAGCGATTGTACCCCTGTAGAATTCGCAGTCGAAAAGAAAGTTATAAAAAAAAGAAAGGAGCTATAGGATATATGTAGTTGTCTGATCCGGAGCGATCCGACTTACATATATAGAAATAAGACTTTTAAAACATATAATTTATTATTTGACAATTATTTGTAATGATCAAGGCTTTGAGAGATATATTTATTTTATTGAAATAGCTGCTTAAAATAGATATTTCAAGATTTATTATTTATACGCTACGCCTTAAAAAACTATATATGGATTATGATTATCAGTCTAGTCTTGAACATTCTTAAAAATAGCTTTAATTGCTCTTGTAAAATACATATATTTACATTTATAAAAATATTTTTCATGATCTAAGCTTTATCAAAACTATATATGTACTAGAAAAATCAGTCGCATATCGACCTTTTATATATATTTATATCAGTTATTTATATAACTATTATAAAACTATATAATTATATATTCTAATGTTTCGTTTGAAAGTCACCTTAAACTCATGATATAAGAAAGTCATATATTTAATTGAAGAAAAGAATGAAATCATAGCGCAACATCTCGCCGCCGAATCGTGAGCTCCGCTGCAACAGCAGCAACACCATCAGCAGCAGCAACAGCAACATCAGCAGCAGCAACAGCGGCACTTTGCCAGTCTGATGAGCAAATCATAGTAACAACTCTAACACCAACAAGCAGCCGCTGAGCAGCGACAACAACGCGGAGGACACCAGCAACGATGTGTCCGAGATTGGCACCATACCCGACCTGACCACTCCGGAGGCCGTGGGTCTGGGACTGGCCATTGGAGCCGCTGCCGGCGAGGTTGCTAGCCGGGCGGCCACGCCACCGCAGGCACCACCGGCATTGGCACCACCGACAGCAGTGGCGGGCAGCACTGCCAATGGAACCGGAAATGGAAACGGAACCGCAACCGGAAATGCAACAGCAACGGGTCCGCTGAGCCTGCACCCGAAATCGTCGACCTTCGATTACCTCTACGAGTTCTCGGAGACGCGCAAGGTGCTGGAGGAGTTCTTCAAGTGTCCCTCCACCGACGAGCAGCCCATCATGGAAAACGGCAGCGATGTGGACAGCATTGTGAGTACCCAGATGATGATTGTTTTTGGCCAGTCATTATTATGAAATATAAAAGAATATGTCAATATCAAAAATGGACTTAAAAAAATCAAACTAGCATTTAATATTCTTAATTTAACCAATAAAGTAGCTTCGGGAATGCGAGCATCAGATAATAACAATAAGATTTTCATAAATTTATAAATTCATTGTTTGAGATATTGTTAATACAATTTCATTTAAAATCACTTCAGTTGTTTTATTAAATACGTTTCTTGTCAACTCTTCTAAAGGTAACCTGAAGTAACCCGATATATGTATGGAGCAAATTATAAGTTTATCAACTATGTAAACTATCAATAAGTTGTTCCGAGCAATCGTTAGGTATGCAATTGGTTTATTGAAATGTGTGTTGATTCATTTTAAAGACAATGAGCTAATACAATAAAATGAAATTTAGAATTGTCTGCATTGTAGTGTTTTTGTAAGTAGTGAGTAGTGAGTAGTTGTGTTGCGATGGAATGGCCTTTAGGTATAGTTTAAGTTTGAGAGCGAACAGCAGAAACCTCTTCGTTGGGGTCCTTGTGTTTCTTATCCATTAGCTTTGTCTTCTTAGCCTGTGGAGCGCCCGCATCCTGTACCATATCCAGAGAATGGCGCTTTGGCACTTTAGACTGGTTTTCCTTCTCCTCGTCACTGACCTGCTTATCTGAGTCGTGTTTCTTGGGGGCCTCCCCGTCCTCCGAGTCCTTCTCCAGGCCCATCACATGGGTGTTGGAAGGCGGTTCCGCCTTGATCTCTGGCTTCTCATCCTTGCCGGCGGTAGCCGCCGTCTCGCGATCTGCAGTCCAGAGCTCCTCGGACCCGGTGGCTGTGGTGATTTGAATCACCGCGTTCATTGATGCGTCGTTTTCCTCATTCGTGTTGAAGAACGCGTCGTTTTCAAGGTCGGGCATATCGGCCATATCGTTCACTTGTTTAAAGTTTCTGCTGGCTGAATTTATTTAATACGTCGTCTCGGTGATCCTTGCCGTTGCTGAAAACCACTTAACACCTTGATTCAAGACTCCAAATAGGTTAATTAAGGTTTATTCAAGTTTTTATGCGCTTACTTTCAGTGAAAACCAATTTCCAGATGTGACAAAATTAATTTGGCATTCAATATCTTGACAGATTTTTGACAGACATTTAGTGTGGTCGCACACCATTGGGGTTTGCCAGAATCAGGGTTGCCAGATTACTCCGAGTCGGTAAGCCCTTAACTTATTCGGTCACACTTATCATATCAGTGTTACGATTCAAAAAAGTAATCCCTTAACTGGCCTCCACTCATCTTCTGCCTGGTTTGACAACTTCAGTGGTTTTCAGTGGCTCTCCAAGGACTATCGCTGTGGAAATGGCTGATTAGCAAATCAGCCTGATTGAATTTGGTTTTAACCGTGGGAACTTTGTACATATGTACAGAGCTTTTCGAGTTTTAGAAAACTAAAAACTAATTAAAAAAGTTTTAAGACAATGTTCCATTTGAATTTACTAGCATATATGTTTATTTATAACGGTCCTTGTATTATTGTGACATTATTTATGCGATCGTTTAGTAGCTATATGATAAAGTCGTGCGATTTCCAAGATATTCCCAAGACGTTAATAAGTTTTTATATTTTAAAAATATTTTTTTGATCATTCCTATGAAAGCTATAGGATATAGTTTTTCTATCCGCCACGTTCGGACATATATACTACGTGCAATAGAAATACAACTATTGGGAACGTTTCATCCCGTTAGCTTTAAAACTGAAAGACTAGTTTGCGTAGAAACGGACAGACGGATGGTCAGAGGGACATGGCATAAAACATCTTTCCCAAGCCACATAATTTCGGAAAAAACAAGTTTGATTTTTATACTTTTTATTGATTTTTATGGAGCTTTTCTTCATTGATTAACAGAACTAGACCATATGTTGTTGGGGGCATTTGAGTAACATCAACTATATTATGCCTGAAACGAGAAAGAGATCAAGACAAGGCCATGAACAGGACACAAAAGAACTCACCCTGCAACTTGGCCAACTGCTCGGTGGTCATAACAATGGGCATCAATTGATCGGGGCTAGTGGGAGCTATCAAGTTGGGATCGGCAATGGGGCCCATGTAGCACTTGCGCATCTTCAAGTACTGCATCCAGACATTCAGTCCCTCCTCGGAGGCTTCCATGGGACTGAGATCCTGATCCTCGCCACCGGCGTTGCGAACATTGAGGTCGACATGTGCATCGTTGATGAAAACCTGACGGGTCAGGTGAAAGTAGCTGTTGGTGATATATATGTTCGGCTGGACGGGTTGTTGCTTCTGAAATAATGCGACAATGTAATATAATAAAAATAACAAATGATTACATTACAAAATCAAAAAGAAAATATATGTAACCAATTGAGTATCAAAGAAAATTGTATGTCAAAAAAAATGGTTTGACGTCTATGCAATTATGAAAAATGATCAAATTTTAAGTGTTATTGCAGACCTGTTCCAATAGCATTGAGCGCATAAAATTCTCGCTGATCAGATGGATATTGCAGTCGCGCAGATCCTTAATCATGAGCTCCAGATTTGAGTTCTTCTCGGTGAGCACTTGGACCTCTTCGTCCAGTTGACGCTTGTCCTCCTCGTGGAGCTGAAGGGTCTGCTCCCACTTGCGGTTCATGGAGCTCACATTGTAGTAGTCCTTGTGCTTCAGCAGGCGCTGGCTAAAGTACCACTCGGAAAACTGTGTCAGCTTGGACAGGGCCAGGATCAAGAGGAAGGTCCATAGGATGTCGGTGTACTCGTCGAAGGAGCGACCGTTGTAGCAACTCTCCTCCTCGCACTTAATCACTGTGGTCGAACCATCCCACACCACTCCGGCTATGGTAATATTTTCCATCGTTTAAATTCGTGTGTGTATTACCCAATAGAGTTTTTTTTTACGAAGAGTATGTGGCAGTGAAGGCAGAAAATTCACAATTGAATTTGAACAGTCAGCGTCGATGGGAACACTACTTTCACAGCCTACTTGAATCGAGTTACTTACCTCGTTTTCGGACCTTTTGCCTAACCAGGGCTACGAACTGCAGGCTCAAGCAGGTTAAAAGGGTCAGGCATATGGCAATGGCCCCATCAATCAGCTGTCTCAGAGATATTACGTCCATGGTGACCTTAGTTACAGGGCTTCAATACTTATCAATTTTGCACCAAGGCCCAAGGAGCTCGTTTCCATGTGAGTGTGAGTGAATTTTATTGTTTGACAAAGTCCTCATGGACTTGGAAATTTGTGTTTAGCTAGGGAACAGGAATAAGCAACTAAAATAAAATAAACGTGAAAATATTTTTTAATGTTATATACTTTTGTGAATAATGAGTATTATTTAAAAATAAGTAAAATAAAATGTTAAAATATACAAATGGTATACGGTTTTTATTAGTCTAGTTTTTATACTTTTAACTATTTTTTTTAAGATATTGGGTGGTATTATTAGATGAAACTTTGGTTTAGTGTCTTTCTTTATTGAACTTGGGAAGAGAAATAAACAAAACAAAGAAAAGTTGTAATGTAAAAGTGTAATGGACCAGTTTTCTATAATTTTTAAACTAAATAAAAGAATAATAATAAAATAATATCCAATGGAAAAGTTTTTAAATTATTCGTTTTATGGTATATGGTTGGTAATAATTTTCTGTTAATGAGTGTATTTCAAGAGGGCATTCGTCAGGCCCGTCAATGCGATAGTGTGTGTCGAATTTTAGATATAAAGACGAAATATTTCACTTACGCCCCGCGAAACCGTCAATAATGCTGAGGTTACCCTGGTACTTGGTTGTTATATTCTTACTAGCGGCTCTATTAGGAGCATTTGGTTACCGGGCGAAGAGTCGTTATCCGCGCATCGAATTGCGAACCCATTCGGTGGGCGGTTCAGCGGTGCGTCCGCTGCACTACAATCTCAGTCTGCTGACCGAGGTGGATGGGGTTAAGCTGGCCGGGACCTTCCGCGGCGAGGTCACCATCCGGGTGCGCGTGTGGCGCGAAACTCGCACCATCGTCCTCAGCTCGAATGGCCTGCGAGTGGGCCCCAAAGTGTGGCTAATCCGCAAAAGCACCGGTGGCCGGGTGACGGTGCGCAAACTGTGGCAGGTGATCCGCCTCCATCGGCTGGGCATCGATTTCAATAGCCTGCTCTGGCTGGGCGAGGAGTACACTTTGATCCTCGAGTTCAGTGGCCAAATGTCCCGCACCGGTGGCTACATCCTCGGCGGCTACACGGATTCGGCCAGCCACCATCCGCAATGGGTGGCGGTCACCCAGCTCTCACCCGACCTGGCCAACACCCTCTTTCCCTGCTTCGAGGATACCAGCCACCTCAGCCCCGTCGTCCTCAATCTGGCCCACCCAAGGACAACAAGGGTCGTGAGCATCACGCGGGTGCGCCACACCTCCGAGTGAGTAGAGCTTGATTTTAAAACTATATATATCAACAAAATTCCTTAAAATCTATATGCTATAATCAGAAAACACCCACGAACTGTATCGGAATGAACATACAGAAAATTAATTTGTATTTTGAAATTAGTTAGAAGAGTATCTGATTTTGGTTTTCCCTTCAATAGGACAAATTCGATTTTTTTTAATTTTCTCAATTTACTCGGCAGCCATGAGAGGGATGATTACATGTGGACCAGCTTCTACCAGACACCGCCGACGTCTGTCCAGAAACTGGCCTTCTCCATCAATCGGTTCACGAGTCGCAAGTCCCCTCCATTACCTCTATGCCCCGTGTTGACCACCTGGTTGCGACCGAGGATCGCCGAACAGGGGGACTACGCCATTCGCATCTCGCCCCAGATAATCGTGTACTTTGTGGGTCTCTTTGGAAAGCCTTACGTCTTGGATAAGATTGACCAGCTGGTTCTGCCGGACACGGTTCATCAGGTAGGAATTCTAATCAAGTATTGCCAGAGGCTTTGGAGGGCATTGACACTTAGGTAACTTTTATCCATTTCTTTGCGCATTTCCATTGATCCAAGAGTCATGAGCACTTGGGATTGGTAAGCCATCCGGAGCGATTGTTCCTCTACAGCGAAAAGCAGTCAACGGTGAAGGCCAAGCAGGAGGTGGCCAGTAACCTGGCCCGTGAGTTTGCCCACCACTGGTTCTCCGATCTTGAGAATCCCGCCCTCTACTGGCTACACTATGGTCTGTCCAACTATCTGAGTGGCTTCGCCGTGGACCATGTGGAGCCCAGCTGGCGGCTCCACGAGCTATCCATGTTGCGGCAGGCCCTAGCCGTCCTCGCCGAGGACTCCAGGGCCAGTGCCCAGCCCGTGAGCCTCGCCCACATCTCCCATCCAACGGACATTCAGTCCCATCAGAAGGCAGCCCTCCTATTCCGCATGCTGCACTCCCTCATTGGCACCCAGGTTGGTTCTATTCTTGTTCCGGTTCTACAGACATCTCTAAAGACTTAATATCACCTTTGAAACTATCTCAAAGTGGGCTTCTATATATTTTAAATTCCGAAGGAATAATTGTCGTAATGACAGTTTAAAATATATTTTACAGCAAACTTTATACTGCAAATTTTAAATTATAAAAAATGGTCCTATACAGAATGCCGCAGAAAACATTAGGGCGAAAATTACAGGTGTCTTAAAGTGTGGATCAAAATATTTTAAGTGCAGAAGTCTGATACATACATTCTTTTTTCAGTGCATACTTTTAAAATATTATAACAAAAAAAAATGTAGCTCAGTGATTTCTGTGGAATGTCGTACCTACGTGTGATTCCTAAAATTTTCCGATATGATACGATATAATGTACCAGGAACATTGAACTTGTTAAGGTGCCTGAAAGTATGCAACAAAATATATTTCGAATCCGATGCAGGCATTCCTTTTTCACTGCATAATTTTAAGCACTTTTAAAAAGTGATTTAGATATCAAAGTGATCTGTACCACATCGTACACATAGGTGACTCCTTAAACATTCTGATATGATATGATCAATCCAGGTGTTCGTCAATGCATTGCGACTGTACTTGCGGCGCTCCCAGAAGGGAGCCTCAAACCAGACGCTCCTGTGGAAGGCCTTCCAGGAGGAATCGGATCGCCACATGAGCCTGCGCCAGGATGTCCAGGTGAGCCAGCTGATGGACTCGTGGACGCTGCAGCCGGGCTATCCGCTGATCCAGGTGGCGCGCGACTATGATACCAACCGGGTGACCGTAACCCAGCAGCGGTTCCTGCGCAATCCGAGTGGCGGCAATGGAAGGCGCCCGATGAATCGCTACCAATGTTGGTGGGTCCCGCTGACCTTCACCTCGGCTGGTCGGGGCAGCTTTGTTTCGACGCTGCCCAGCGAGTGGCTGACCTGCCGCCCCCACCAGACGCCCAGTCCGCTAATCCTCGATGAGGTGGCGCAGCCGGACGAGTGGGTGGTCTTCAACCTGCGGGTGAACACACCATGTCGCATCACCTACGACGAGCGGAATTGGCGGCTGATTGGACGGGCTCTGGCGGATAAGAATGCCAGCAGCATTGACCGCTTCACCCGGGCCCAGCTGATCGGTGATGTCCTCAACCTGGCCGGCGCCGGCATTGTCACCTATGACCTGGCCCTGAACTTTGTGGGAAATCTGCGTCACGAGAACGAGTTCATCGTGTGGCAAGCGGCTGCCAGGAGTCTGGAGTGGCTCTATGACAGCCTGCGCAACACTAATATTTTCACCCTTTTCAAGGTGAGTTAGAGGGAGAACAAATAGAGTGATCTTGCTTACAATCCAATGAGAGCTTTTGTAAAGTCCAATAGAAGGGTCTCCCGGGACTTCCGCAGAAATATTTGCCCGGGTCACAACGGCTGAAGATAATGTGGGCTGGGTGGAAGAAGGGAAAGCCCTTCTTCGTCTTAAGAAACTTTTAAAAAATGTAACTTAAACCATTGACCAAACAATCATCCTAACAGAAGAAGTGGTTTAGGTTTTTTAATTTAAAACGTTAAAACTAAATTTAGCTGCCAAATGATAAGATATGAATTTGAAAAGGATTATTTTTAGATTTTATTAAATCCTTGCTTGATAATGAATTTTAAAAGGAATTTTTCTTTTCATAAACCAGTTTCGAATTTGAAAAAAAAGTTTATTTAAACTTTGGTAAATATTTATTTGGCTCCTTAAATCTTTTTTTAAAGCTGTTTTGAACATTGTGTAAAAATTAGGCTGATCTAGCTCAAATAGTTTGAGCTTTGGGCATACGCCTTCAAGAGTTATTTTAAGATTATAAGTTTTAAGATTATTTCAGACTCCGCACATTCCAAGATTAACTAGTAAATGGTTATGCTTTATTATTTATAATCTAAGCAAGGATTTCCAAACTATAGATATAAAAGCTTAAGTAGCTTGTTTCAAAAGCCCTTTACAATCAAAGCTTTCTTAGCGAGTTAAGAAAATAAGTAGTCATCCATAATATCTGATGTAGGTGGAGCCAAACGACGAATTGCCAAACTTTTGTAACCTTAGCTTTCAAGAACTTTTTAAGGCTAAGCTTCAGAAACAGTTGGATTTGAATTTTTTTTATATTAATAAGTATTTCGTTGATAAATGTATCTTGAACCCTTACTTTGTAGATCTTTATGAGAACCGTACTGCAGCCCAAGTTCGACGAGCTATTTAACCCGAAAACCCAGGCAGCTGGAAGGGGCAAAAGCACAGATTTAATGGCGATAATCCTGCAAATGGCCTGCCAGATGGATCTGGGATCGTGTGCGAATCTGGCCCTTAAGGAGTTCGCTGGCCTGAGCCTGGAGGCCAATCGCATTCCGGTGGATCAACGCGGGACCATCTATTGCACTGCAATTCAGTTTGGAACGGAGGCTGATTGGACGTTTTTAAGGAGGCTGTACAAAAGGTCAAATGTGGCCGAGGAAAGGAGGATTATCCTTGGTGCCCTTGCCTGTAGTCGCGAAAACTGGGCACTGGAGAAATTGCTTGGCATGGCCTTTGGCAGTCGCTACATGCCCAAGGACGATGTCCTTCTGATCTTTAGCGCCGTGGCACAGAATCCTTTGGGCTACGTACTGGCCAAGAATTACCTGGTGGACAACATAAAGGCAATCAGGAAATTGTAAGGGGTCTTGAGATCTTAAACTTCCTTAAAAACACTTCTTCCCATCTTTCAGTTACGAAAACAGCACCCATGATCTCACACAACTCATTACGGTTTTGGTGGACGAGGTATACACGAAGGCAGAACTAAAACTTGTACGAACGTTCATGAAAACAGACCTCAAGGATCTGCCGGGCATCGAGGTCAGCTCTCGACGCATCCTGGAAGTGGGACACGACCATATAGCCTGGCACACGAGGCACTACCTCCATGTGGTCTCTGCCGTCTGCAACATTACCGGATCCATAGAGCCACAGTGTATCTACTAGGTCGCGTTGGGTTGATGGCAAGATTATAAGATTTCACAGTGTATGCCAAATTGAGTTAGACAAATAAAACATCAAAAGCTACATTAAAACAAGATAGAACGCTACAGTCAAGTGCCTAGACAATCAACTACCTGTTACTCAACCTTAAGCTGTTGACCAATTTTTTTTTTACCCATGTCCGTCTGCCCGTTTCTACGAAAACTAGTCTCTCAGTGTTAAAGCAATTGGGATTAAACCGATAAGTCGGAACGAGCCGGATCAGACAACTATATCTTACAGCACCCATATCACTCTTTTAATATTTCATAAAATTTTAAAAACAAATGGGACGACTTAATCATATAGCTGCCATAGGGATGATCGGATAATCAATGTCGAAATAATACAAGTACCGTTCTATTTAGTTTTCGATAAACATATATTGAAATGGAACAATATCTTAATATTTCTGTAATTAATTTATAGTTTTCCTAAGATCGGAAAGCTCTGTACATATGTACAAAGTTCCCACGGTTAAAACCAAATTCAATCAGGCTGATTGGCTAATTAGCCATTTCCACAGCGATAGTCCTTGGAGAGCCACTGAAAACCACTGAAGTTGTCAAACCAGGCAGAAGATGAGTGGAACCTAGTTAAGGGATTCATTTGGAGAATCGTAACACTGTTATGATAAGTGTGCCCGAATAAGTTAAGGGCTTACCGACTCGGAGTAATCTGGCAACCCTGATTCTGGCAAACCCCAATGGTGTGCGACCACACTAAATGTCTGTCAAAAATCTGTCAAGATATTGAATGCCAAATTAATTTTGTCACATCTGGAAATTGGTTTTCACTGAAAGTAAGCGCATAAAAACTTGAATAAACCTTATTTAACCTATTTGGAGTCTTGGATCAAGGTGTTAAGTGGTTTTTAGCAGCGGCAAGGATCACCGAGACGACGTATTAAATAAATTCAGCCAGCAGAAACTTTAAACAAGTGAACGATATGGCCGATATGCCCGACCTTGAAACCGACGCGTTCTTCAACACGAATGGGGAAAACGACGCATCAATGAACGCGGTGATTCAAATCACCACAGCCACCGGGTCCGGGGAGCTCGGGACTGCAGATCCCGAGACGGCGGCTACCGCCGGCAAGGATGACATGCCGGAGATCAAGGCGGAACCGCCTTCCAACACCCATGTGATGGGCCTGGAGAAGGACTCGGAGGACGGGGAGTCCCCCAAGAAACACGACTCAGATCAGCAGGTCAGTGACGAGGAGAAAGAAAACCAGTCTAAGGAAAATTCCTTGCCAAAGCGCCATGCTCTGGATATGGTACAGGATGCGGGCGCTCCACAGGCTAAGAAGACAAAGCTAATGGATAAGAAACACAAGGACCCCAACGAAGAGGTTTCTGCTGTTCGCTCTCAAACTTAAACTATACCTAAAGGCCATTCCATCGCAACACAACTACTCACTACTTACAAAAACACTACAATGCAGACAATTCTAAATTTCATTTTATTGTATTAGCTCATTGTCTTTAAAATGAATCAACACACATTTCAATAAACCAATTGCATACCTAACGATTGCTCGGAACAACTTATTGATAGTTTACATAGTTGATAAACTTATAATTTGCTCCATACATATATCGGTTTACTTCAGGTTACCTTTAGAAGAGTTGACAAGAAACGTATTTAATAAAACAACTGAAGTGATTTTAAATGAAATTGTATTAGCAATATCAACAATATCAAACAATGAATTTATAAATTTATGAAAAACTTATTGTTATTATCTGTTGATGCTCGCATTCTTGAAGCTACTTTATTGGTTAAGTTAAGAATATTAAATGCTAGTTTGATTTTTTTAAGTCAAATTTTGATATTGACATATTCTTTTATATTTCATAATAATGACTTTGGCCAAAAACAATCATCATCTGGGTACTCACAATGCTGTCCACATCGCTGCCGTTTTCCATGATGGGCTGCTCGTCGGTGGAGGGACACTTGAAGAACTCCTCCAGCACCTTGTGCGTCTCCGAGAACTCGTAGAGGTAATCGAAGGTCGACGATTTCGGGTGCAGGCTCAGCGGACCCGTTGCTGTTGCGGTTCCGTTTCCATTTCCGGTTCCATTGGCAGTGCTGCCCGCCACTTCTGTCGGTGGTGCCAATGCCAATGCCGGTGGAGCCTGCAGTGGCGTGGCCGCCCGGCTAGCAACCTCGCCGGCAGCGGCTCCAATGGCCAGTCCCAGACCCACGGCCTCCGGAGTGGTCAGGTCGGATATGGTGCCAATCTCGGACACATCGTTGCTGGTGTCCTCCGCGTTGTTGTCGCTGCTCAGCGGCTGTTTGTTGGTGTTCGAGTTGTTACTATGATTTGCTCATCAGACTGGCAAAGTGCCGCTGTTGCTGCTGCTGCTGTTGCTGCTGATGGTGGTGCTGCTGTTGCAGCGGAGGAGAGCTACTGCGGGCCTCCCTATTCGGCGGCAAGATGATGCGCTATGATTTCATACTTTTCTTCACTTTTCTTATATCATGAGTTTAAGGTGACTTTCAAACGAAACATTAGAATATATAAATATATAGTTTTATAATAGTTATAACTGATATAAATATATATAAAAGGTCGATATGCGACTGATTTTTCTAGTACATATATAGTTTTGATAAAGCTTAGATCATAAAAAATGTTTTTATAAATGTAAACATATGTATTTTACAAGAGCAATTAAAGCTATTTTTAAGAATGTTCAAGACTAGACTGATAATCATAATCCATATATAGTTTTTTAAGGCGTAGCGTATAAATAATAAATCTTGAAATATCTATTTTAAGGAGCTATTTCAATAAAATAAATATATCTCTCAAAGCTTTGATCATTATAAATAATTGTCAAGTAATAAATTATATGTTTTAAAAGTCTTATTTCTATATATGTAAGTCGGATCGCTCCGGATCAGACAACTACATATATCCTATAGCTCCTTTCTTTTTTTTATAACTTTCTTTTCGACTGCGAATTCTACAGGGGTACAATCGCTTTATATTTAAGACGCTAGTAATTTATTCAGTACTATAACATATTGTAGCGAACTACTCAAAAGAACTTATCGGAACTTAGGAGTATGTTTTTTATTATTTGAGCAAAGATATAACAGTTTCTGAAACTGTTTCGGGGAACTCGATGATGAAATCTACCACGAGGTCGCCGCGGCACGAGCCGTTCACTTGATGGGGCAGTCCCTGGCCCGGGATGCGGCGAGTGGAGTCCCATCTGATCACCTCGCCTGCGGTGCTGAGGTCCAGCGGCTCCCCTTGGAGCGTCGGCCGCTGGACGAGAACCTCCGTTGCGAGATCTCAAGGCTCTTAATGAACCCCTTGGCTATTTCCTCCAGAGTGACAAGAAGCACGTGTTCTATCGGCGCATTCTTTGGGATCAGCGGAAAGTCCTCGGTGGCGATGACCTTGGCGAAGGTGGCGAACGGATCACCGTGGAACTGGTAGCTGTCCGGCTGGAGACCCTCCTCGCCCAGAGCGTCGAACAGGTCGCGCTTCTTCTTGTCCGACAGGACCTCGAAGGCCTCGGCCACCTGATTGAAGCGCTCCGCGGCATGGGGGTACTGGTTCATGTCCGGATGGTAGCGCTGTGCCAGCTTGCAGTACTTCACACGGATCTCATAGTCAGTGGCTCCGCGGCGGAGGCCCAGCATCTTGTAGAAGTCCTTGCCCATGTTCCTGCTGGTTAAATAGCTACTGAAAAACACCTTGAGCAAAAGGAAAAGAGTTAAACAAGAGCCTTACCTTTATTCTTTTTCAAAAAGTAATGAGACAAAATTTCTTCCAGATGCGAACTGATTCGGTTGACTCCTAGACATCAAGTGAAAAATTCTTATCATTTTTTTTAATAGGGCACTAAAGCACGTTGACATTTAGTGCTGTTCTATCGATAGATCGCATTTTCCAAAACTTGTAAGTCTAGAGAACTAGTTTATATACAATTTGAAATTTTACTTTTAAATACCAAAGTACATGAACAAAATAAAATAGTTTTACTACGAATTTAGTCGTGATGTTGCTTTTAATTCGGCCCATGCTTAAAACAACAAATTACATGGATATTTCGTTATTAGTCGGATTTGTGTACTTTTGCAGAGGATTACTCTCATTTATTTTGGTATTTTAAAAAAATAGTTCCAAATTTTCGATAAACTAGTTCTCGTGACTAAAAAGTTTTTGAAAATGCGATCTATCGATAGAACAGAACATTGTTCGTCAACGCAGCACTAAATGTCAATTTGCTTTAGTGCCATATAAAAATTATTCACTTGGTTTCTAGAAGTCAACCGAATCAGTTCGTATCTGGAAGAAATTTTGTCTACTTTTCGAAGAACGAAGAAAGGTAACGCTCGTGTTTAACTCTTCTCCTATTGCTCAAGGTGTTTACCCACAGCTATTTAACGATGTCGCCCATTAACAACAATATCTTTCGGTTTGCCTGGGCCAACAAAAGGCATTTTTGTGTCTCTCTCCTTATGTTCCTTGTTTCGGGAGCTATCTATATGTGGGACCTGGACAGCTTGATAGCGGAGATGATTGTCGAAGGCTTACCGCTCCAATGGATGGGAAGCTTTTCGTGGAGTAACTGGAGCATCATAATCCTGTTCCTAACCTTACTATCGTTGATGATCCTGGCCGTGTGTAATCAAAGACGCCACCGCGTTATAAACTTGAACCGAGTTGGCAAGGTACGCCGTTAAATGAAAGGGTTACGGTCGTCATCGCTGCGATCCGCCCGCCGCCGCTTCTTCAGATGCTCCTCACCCTCCGAGGTCCGAATTTTGTGGTCTTATATTTTTTGCCATTCGATGTACTTAAATGGAGAAATAATAATACTTTATTTTGCTGTAAAGGTTTATGTTTTTAAATAGGGTAATGTATGGGAGACCCTGCGGAAGAGGCTTCTCTGCTCATTCAGAAAAATCAGGCTTTTGGAAGGACTAGATTCTACTTATGAACACTAGGATTAGATAAACCTAGGGGAATATGATAATTATAGCTTCGTTAATTTTGATCATATTCATTTTTGATCTCTTACTCCGAATTACGAATTAAATTTGCTTAAAATCAGACTATTATATCATATAAAGTAAAAACATCCCTTTACTCGTGACGATCGCACATCAACTTATAAAAGTTCTGATATCAATTTTGTGACGAAAATTTAAACTAAATTGTTTTCATTCTTGTTAGGGTTAATACATGCTTATAATTAACCGTCCGTTTCTTTATAAATGCCCAGAAACGGCAACGCTGAGGAATATATTGTGGTGAGTTAAATCTTAAGTGGAAGCTTTGCATTTTTGGCTTAACCTGGGTGGCAAGCTTCGCGCCACATAAATGTTGTATGTAATAAAAGCCTAAACCTTTCAATCAATTACAAGGGTGACTAAAAAAACGTACAACTTATGTTTAACTGCGGTTCAGCAGATTATTTTATACAAAGCTTTAGAGGAATAGTGCTGGGATCGTGTAAATAAATATATAAAGCTCTACTGGCGCCCTCTGTCTGCCACAGAGGGCGGTTTCCGGTGCACCCCTGCAACCAGCTGAGCAATTCGTGGGGGTGGCTTCCGATACCGATAGCTGCGCCTGCGCAAAGGTGGCTCTCTCTTCTCTTGCTCGTTTCGGGGCGCTCCCTCTCTCGTGTACTGTTATTCTCCCGCCTGCGAGGCGAACACGTTGCAAATGTCAAAGGCATGACTTCAGAGTGACGGGGTCTTCAGTTTCAGTTTCAGTGTGTTCTCTGACTTTGGAGCACTTCGTTACCCCCATACGGTGCGCACACCAACACGTCAAAAACGGCATGAATACAGTTATACGATAATAAACAAGACCGATAGCACTGAAAATCAAACTGAAATTGTGCAAAAATCGTGACACTTTCGCGAGTGTGGAAAATGACAAAGAGATTAACTTTCATATTTTTTTTGCCAATTTTTTCTTTGATAATTAAAGTCTGAAATTGAATTTCCTCAAAAAAAAAGTCTGCGGCCCATAAACGCGCGCGTGTTCGCCTGATTTGCCAGTGTGTTGGTGGGTGTGCCTGTGTGTGTTGTGGCTGTGTGTGTGTGTGTGTTTCCCCCTGTATGTGTGGCTGAGAGAGTGCTTATTATGTAAAGTGCTCGTCTTATTGACATTTGACAGTAGGTTGCGCTGATTTCCAAACCGATTGCCTTTGACCAACTGCCAAAAAAATGGGAAGCTTCAATTTGCTAATTAATAGAGTGCGTCCGCACTTAAGTATGCTCCACAGTTTACTGCACGCACACACTTGCACAAGCGTGTCGTGTCGTGTGCGTCGATTGTAGCAACATGTCTTTGCCAATCGCACTTTTCCATGCAATCAGCCAGAGAGATAGAGCGAGATATAAAGAGAGAGAGAGTGCAAGAGAGCACTCACAATTTATAAAATTTTATTATTTTTACCCCCCCTCGTCGCCCTCAGCACCCTCGTCACCGCCCAATCGCTCTTTTGCCCTTCGAAATGTCAAAATATTGCAGACTTTTGTCTGCTCTGCACAACATTGCCAGTCCAAAATACAATTTTCCCTCGTTAGTCACATGTTTTTCCTGACAGCTTGTCAAAGGGAGAAAAAATGCTAAGGTATCGGATGCGTTATTGATACAAATATCTACACTTTTCACCAAAGGCTACCCGAAAACCGTTGATATAGGCCCAAATTAATTGTAGATACTTTTTTAGTTCCTGCAGCCCAATTGACATTGCCAGGCTAGATTTGAAAGCCAATTCAAATTGACCGCCACTTGTCGCGTTCCCCACATGCGCCACTTCTCTCTCTCTTCCTCTCTCGTCCTTTTGCTGTGGACTCTCTTGGCAGTTAACATGTGTAACTTCTGTTAACTTTGACAGCTTAACTCTTATCTCCTGTCATAATAATTGAAACATCGAGTTGGCCGGAAAATATGTCATTTTCATTAAAGCACTACATCTAAAAACGCTCAGGTATTTCCAACATAATTTTTTAGTTGAAATTTGAAAAAAGCTTTGGAAAGCATTTATTTTAACTTTCAAAATTTCAATTTTATTCCTACTTATGGTGAGCTCAAAATAAAATTTGTTTTAAATCTTTATATGTTTGAAATTTGGAAATCAACAGCTTATTAGTTACAAAACTCAAAAATTAAGATGTTAAATAGTATTAATATATGTTAAAAGGGGTTCTCAAACACTATGTTTTTCAGTCAAGGGTTAACCAAGGGTTAACATTGCGCCAACATAGTCACTGTTTAACAGCGCATAACGGGACTGCCTCTCTCTCTCTCTCTCTGTGTGTCTCTCCCTCTTTCCTTTGTCGTGCTCAGTTGGTCGGCGGAAGCGTGCTCGTCCTGTTTGGCTTGGTTTAGTTTTAGTCCTTCTTCGAACGCGCTGCCGACGAGTCACGAGTTCGCAAGACGTACGCAGGGATTCCGACTTCCCACTCTACCAGTCACATACTTTTTTTTCCAGTGTTTCTTGCTCCCAGTTGAGAGCGTGTGTGAGTTTGCGTGTGTGTGCCTGTTTGTGTGTGTGTGTTTGATGAGCGTGGAAACAGAAGGAAGAGGAAGAAATAACACAAACACACGCTCAATACTCAGTATAGTACTCTACAACTACAACTACTGGCCATTTGCATGTGATGTGAAGCGAACTGCTTACAGCTGTTCGATTGCAACTCTGCGCGATCTCCGTTTCCGGTTTTGAGTTGTCATTTTGAACCGCTAACCGTTAATTGCTGCCCGTTAACCGTTAACCGATTTGCCGTCCTGTGTGCCTGTCATTCTGACAGTTTGTGTGTGTGGCTGTGTGCGTGTGTTTATTTTGTCTTTGCTTAATTTCTCGTGTAGTTTTTTTTTTTTTTGTGTTTTTGGTTTTGCCTGGCAAGTGCTATTGCTCTCTCGCTCTGAGTCAGCAGCGCCTGTCAAGCGGAGGGTTGTTTTTTTCCTGCCCTGCCGCTCCGCTCCCCACCCCGCCATCCCATCCCTCCCGCCATCAAAACTTCACTTCAACCACTTGCCGTCGCCGTCGACGTCATCGCAGCCATACAACAAACCACCGAGACACCACCCCCCCCAAAACCCAAACCCAAACCCATTTCCATTTCCATTCCCATCCCCATTCCACCCTCCAGTGTCATTGGCACTCGCTTACAGTTTTATTCAGTTTGCCTTTAAGTTGTGCGTTGACTGCGTAAAATGAACATAAAGAAAGAAAACAAAACATTTAAGATGGTACAAAACCAAACCAATGGGGCTTGGCAAATCAGTTGGCGATAATTGTCCATGCTTTTGCCCATATAGAATACAAGAACAACATAGAAAGCCAGCCCACACCAAGACAATAATACATAAGTGAACTGAGAACCGAGAACCGAGTATTGCGAACCGCTGAAAAACGTTGCACCCACCACCGCCTCACGCTCACCGCCTCACCGCTCGCCCGCTAGTTTAAAGCTAATGCCACCGCCCACCACCACTAGAACTACTACTTCCACCACAACCACTAGTACCACCACAACCAAGAATTAAGAACCAAGAACCATGAACCACAACCACCAACTACCAGCCTCGACCTGAACCACTTCGCAATAAATACCAAAAAAAAAAAAAAAGAAAGTAATCTGAAAAGAAAGAAAGAAAGGCAGAGCCCAGATTCCGAGTCCACTTGTCCAAAATGTCGTCAGTTGAAAAATGTGAGCTCCACCAAAAAAAAAAAATGCATTACTAGATGTTCGTTCCCGTAATATGTGCATACATATAGCATCCCCCATAGAACCTCTAGCTATAGCTCTACCTCCTCGAAGAACCTCCAAATTCGTAGCGCCCACTCTCTCTATCCCAAAAACAACTAAGTTACTAACTAGCTTCCCACCTTAACACTCCCCGATTTGTCTTGCCATGTTTGCCACTTTAGATCTAGACTCTTGACTACAACAACTATATAAACCCAAACCCAAACCACATTCCACTCTTTTCTGTTCTGTTCCATATTACCAAATACAATACTAAGTATTACTTATACTATATCGGTCTGCCTCTCTCGCTCTCTCTCACTATATCTCCCTCACTCTGTCTTTCTTGTTCTGTCTAGTTAACATGCCTTGAACTTTTACCCACTCTTCTAACTTCTCCTGTTAAACAAATAAAAACTTTCCCACTCAAGTCTTTGGAAATTGGGAAGACCGACTGAGAAAAGCATCTGAAAAGTGAAGTTCTCAAGATGGTTCCTGTGCGTTGGCACTCGTAAAAACTTCCCCACTGATTGGCTGGAGTTCCGATACTGTAAATAAGACCCCGTACCCTTAAAAAACAATTTCCCCAATCCTCAAACACTTTTAACCTTTCGATTGCCTGCTTCTTCTAAGACAACCTGCATGCCCGAGAAATCATCAGCTTCTTCTACTGGTTATCGATTTATCATTTGAGAATGCAACACATCCACACACAGACGATGTCGATTGGTTCGATCGGATGGGATCAGAAGTATATATAAAAATTACAAGCCACACACACACTATATTGTACGTTAGCCAAGTAAAGTTACATAATTTCCGTTCCGTTCCGTTTCGTTCCTCGTTCGTTTCTCGTAGTTCCCCAGTTCGTTTGATGCGTTCCGTTCCTTCGTTCGTTCGTTGTGTTTGCCAAGTTCAATTTTGTTGTACTCGAATTCCCAACTGGCCAAGAACCAGATAGTCGGAATTCGGAATTGGCAAGCCAGCAAAAGCCAAAACTGAACAGAAACCAAACAACAACAGCTACCAGACAAACAAACAAACAAACAAACAGCAAAATAAATCGAAACCTTAACCCAATCTAAATATATATGTATACATCCAAACCTAAAGTGTGTCTAATCACCAATTCTTAATGTAAAATTCTCTTTAAACTAAATAATCCAAACACGAATCACACAAACCAAAAACCAAAATCTAAACCAAATAATCGAATCGAAATTGAAATCGAAATCGCAGACCCAGGCAGAACTCGCATTGACCACCAAGCATATGAGCTTGTGGCTAAAGGTAAGCTATGAATAGTCAATATTTTAATGTTTATTTGTGAGCGGAAATCCGGAAAATATAGAGATTAGCACTTTCATTTCGGTGTGCGGCTTATATAGGTATCTGTTGCGTTCTACAATGTACAAATAAAGTGTTTAGCTTAAATTATAAGCCATAAATGAAAGGAATTGTTTGATATTCAATTAAGCAACGATATCAAAATTAATTGGTTTTGTATCGTAAATCCTTAAGTCCCTTAGAACATTTTGATTGATAGCAAGTTGAAAAACCATAACCAGGAAACTTATATTCCAAAGGATTTACAAAATATCATATTAATTATTTAGAATACGTCGAAGAAACAGAGAGAAACAGGGCTTTATTAACCATATATTTAAACCTTATTATCTTGTTCCTCTGTCAAACAAAATCCCGATATCTATAGTTTTTATTGTCTCTGCATAATGAACCGAACTGTTGTGAATAAGCCATGAATATTTTCCCCTTGCTGGCATAAATAAACCCTTAAAGCCTGTCATTATATTGGTGCCGCAGTCGGTTTGGGAAATCCCGACTTGGATGGCCCAAGGGAAATTCCCTCTAAATTATTATCTTCGGCCCCTTCCTGGATCCGCATTGATTTGTCGCATGTCCGGATGTTGTCGGCCCTGCCCCCACATCTTGCCACATGCAACTATTCATTTTCAATTATCCTGTTAAATTAATGCCTTCTACTTGTACCCGTCTGCCCCCCCTTTATCCAAACTCGACTTCCTTTCCAGCCTTTCCAGCGCATCCCCACATGTCCTTTGTCTGCGGCATGAATCAGCTATCTGTGAAAAGTTTGTTTTTTCGCCCCCTTTTGTTGCTGGCGACAAATTCAACGGCAGACGGCGGCTTGGCTCTAAAATATTGGTTATTAGCATAGCCAGGGGGTGTACATGGGGTTATTCTACGGGTATGTGTAGGGTTTTGGGGGCTCGGGGGCTTGCACTGGAAGCTGACAAAGCAGCCAACGCTTTTTGTTGCCTACTTTTTGGGGTCAGGGACTTGTTTTGTCAGCTTGAGCGAGGCGAGAGCGCCTAGCAAATTGCCAGACTCACACACCCACACACACACACAGAGAATCGAGTGGGGATGGGCACTCTGTATAGATAGAACCCGCTTATACATCTATTTATCCGCTACCCACAAGTTTTTCATCCCCATTCTCCGGCGACCGCTGCATCTTTTGTATTGTGAATCATAGCCAAATGCATTCGACGCCACGGCATCATGGCCAATGGGGCTGACAATGCACAAAGAGCCAGAGGAAAGATAAGTGGGTGTCTACCCAGAACCACCCATCACCCATCACCCATTAGCCATCAGTCCGCCCGGTTGCTGTCGTCATCGCTCTCTCATCATCATTGGCGTCATCATCCTATCCTTACCATCCTGGCCATCCTATATCCTCCTCCCACCTCGTCTCCTTCCCCGACATCTCTGGCTTTTGTTCGATCCATTCAGTTCAGCGAGAGCTAATTTAGCGTTAATCGAAGTGTATTTACACTAGCCTTCCACTCCGCCCATCCCATCCTGAACTCCACTCTGATTGCATTAGCTTGAAGGCTGCATTGGCTTGTCACTAATTAGTTTTCAATCCCTCAACTTCATTCCCGATCTGCCGACACCCGGCCAAAAAAATGAAGAAAAAGTGCAACCAACCCATTTCTTTTCTTTGACTTGACAGTAAATGACTTATTGGGGTTACAGCTAATAGGAAGTCATTGCCCTCAAAAAGAAGTAAGGAAAATCGTGCTTCAGAAAACTATTTCATGGGCACATGTCTCTATTAGTAACCGAATGATTGACAGATTGACAAACGCAAACAACATATAAAAGCCGTTAATTTCATTCCCCCTACCCAGTTGGCTTAAAAGGATGTAAAAAAGTTTACAAATTTCAGGCTATATTAGAACTATTTTACTCACAAATAATCCTTATCTTAACATGATGTACGCCTCTGGGAATTTTTAAATCTGATGATTTAATATAACTTTGTTTTTGATTTTCAAACAAAAACCTCTCCATCGTACTCGGTTAAATTATATTAAATGTTACAAAATTGTCATTCATTTGAAATCCGATTGTGGTGTCAATGAACAAATACAAATCCTTTGTGACTTTGACCGAGTACTTTAACAATGAGCACTGCAGCTGTGGATAAATGCTAATTCTGTGGAATAAATTCCGATCTCTTTGAGTTGTCAGTCAGCCCATCAAGATTTCCCTTCAACGACTGCAATTCCCTACTTTACCAAAGGCTTTTGATAGTTTCGAGTGTCGAAATTGGCTTGTTCACTATCCGATAATCCCGGTTGTTTAGCAACAAAACGATTCCGAGTCGATGTCCCAAAGCAATTCAAAGTGACTGAGCAGCTTGGGCCAATCTGATGCGCTTCAAGCGTCTCTATTTCGACAGTCGCAGTCCTCATTAATTGACCACAACAGCTGCCGGGCTGAACTTGAGTTTCCTTGGTAATTGGAGCACTTCTTCTGCTGCTCCAGCTGCCGTTTCCATTTCCATTCTGCACTCGGTACTCGGCACTCGACTGTGGAAGCCTCCGTTGTTACAATCCAAGGAGCGGGGTATTAGAATTATGGCTGGCAGGGAGAAACGCTCCATTTGCTTGGGCCCTCGGTTTTAACGTGGTGCACTGCGAGAAAAATGATATCAGTTTTAAAAGACAAGTTTTTGCACGCGTTTTTGACGACTTTTAATCGTATACTGTGCGTGTGTCAACAAAGTGCGGATTTGGATAATATTAAATGCTAACAGCACACTTTGTATAAGGCAATAACAACCATAAAAGATGCTGTCAGAAACCACAAAAAATCATTATGACAAACAAACTTTATTTTAGGTGCTGAGAAGTATGCAGTAAATATATCATAGCCTTCCATGTGAATGACTTCAATGTACTTCTGAGCTAAAAATATTTGGTAGCATATTTTTAGGTACCTCAAATTATGTTCAACAGTGATTACAAGCACCAGCAGGATTACATTTATATAAAAATGTTTAGATTTCTACAAAAAATCATTATGACATTCAAATTTTATTTTATGTGCTGAAAAGTATGCAGTAAATACATCATAGCCTTCCATGTGAATGAATTCAGTGTACTTCTGAACTAAAAATATTTTACAGCATACTTTTAGGTACCTCAAATGATGTTTAAAAGTGATTACAAGCCCCAGCATGATTACATTTATATAAAAATGTTTAGATTTCGACATGAGTGGGTAAATAAAATGTTGTTAATTACATAGTTACATCTAATTTTTGCCACCATTGAAAACCCGCTTTGTACTTAACTCTCAAGAGCTTTAAAATTAACTTTTTTATTTAATGAAATCTCTTTGAAGTACCAAAATGTCAAGTTGAAATTTCATAGATAAGGGCTATTCTTGATGCAAAAAACCAAACGCTTTTTGCTGTGTTTGGGCTTGAACCACTTTGTTCGCTTCCGTCTAACGTTTTCTCGTTTTTTCCGTTTTTTTCCCAAGCCTGTGTGAGTGTGCGTGCGAAAGCCGGATGTTGGCATATGGCTCGACGCATCTGTGAGTGGAAAAACGTTGCGCATACGGCCCGTGTGCCGAGATGCAGTTATGTATGTGTGTGTGTGTGTGTGTGTGCTTAACTAATATGCTATGAACGTCGCTTCGACACGTTGCAATTGTCGCCCCTCATCGTTGTTGTTCCTGGCTGTGTTTGTGTTTCTGTTGCTGCCCCTGTTGTGGGTCCTGTTCCTGCCATTGTTGTCCTTATTGTTCGCCACATTTGTATGGCGATTTCCACAACTTGCACTCCAGAATGGGCTGGCGCAATAAATGTTTGCTGTGGCCAAATATTGGGCTAGATGCTGGGCCGATGGCCTTGTGCTCGGCAAATGGCAAGTACAAAATAGTAAAAACAGCGCACGAAATGGGACATATCCTGTGCCCCGGAAGCACCGAAGTGGAACATACACTCAAGGAGTGCCATCAATTCGATGCGATAAAAGCTGGGAATTGCATTTGAGAGGGAGTTTCGATTTGCCAATATTTAAGAAAATATTTAAAGCTGTCTTAAAAGAGTATAGGTATTTTATTATATTAAAGTATAACCCGTTTAAATACAGATAATCATGTAATTCTTAAAAAAACTTTCACATTGCAACTCCTATTTGATAACGGATTTCGAATTCTTCGTAAACCTTCATCGGTAATACCTCGAAAGACCGAATTTACGCATAGCCCCGTCAAATGAGTCCGCAGCTATATTGCTGCATTTGTGATCGCAGAGCCATTCAACCCGCATTAGAGGATAAAAGTCCTGCTAAGCCAGGCAACGGCTGCGAGTCCTGCGCCTTTTTGCGAGCTTGTGTCCTGTGCGTGTGCGACAGGTAAGTGAATTTATGTTGCACACGCTATGCGAAACATGCCACTGCATCTGGCCATAAAAACGTGACAGAAACAACAACAGCGACGGGAGCAGCCAGAGCAAATAAGGAGCCATGCCCCAGGGCTGCGAACATCCTCGCACATCCTGCCACATCCTGGCAGCAATGTCGCCTCCTTGCTGGTCACACAAAACTTTCATCGTTCGCAACCGAGGCGAGCCAGAAATATTATTTATTGAGGCGAATCCTCTGCCTACCTGGATGTGCTCGCCCGGCTGCATTATACCCATTTCCACTGCACTTCGGTCATTTGGTTTGCCATTTCGCTTGCTCGTTTATACACTCAGAGAAAAGTTACAGTGACTTAAAAAATACCAATACACATTAAAAAAAATTGCTTGGGATTTTAAAGCATGCTAAATTAAAATTCATTCGTTTTAATAAATGCTCTGACTCAAAACACCTATCCTGGTATTTTTTCTTTACTTATGTACTCTACATAAACAATATGGTATTCAGTTCCTAGGACAAACCTACACTAGAGTAGGAATACTTGGTAAGAATATGAACGGCAAACTTTTTTGGTTTACACAT